CACTTAAGGTGTGCAACTCAGTGACTTTTGGCATACTTACAGCTAGGCAACCCTCATCACGATAGTTTGGGAACATTTTCACTCTCCCTTAATTGCACTCCTAAACAGTCACATCCCTTATTTCTCTGTTCTCCCAAATCATCCCTTCACCGTTATTCTTTTACACTCCTTTAAAAGTTCTCTCCCAAGAATGGCACATCTTCAAACAACTAGCAACAACGAATGTTGGCAAGGATGTGGAGAAAACAGAACTCTCCTGCACTGCTGGTGGGAATGCAAACTAGTACAACCACTATGGAAAACTGTTTGGAGGTTCCTCAAACTGCTAAACATGGAGCTTCCCTATGACCCAGCACTGACTATAAAAGATACCTGCACCCCCATGTTTATTGCTGCTTTATTTACAATTGGAAAAACATGGAAGCAGCCCAAATGCCCAAAAGAAGATGACTGGATAAAAAAGATGTGGTACATATATACAATGGAATATTACTCAGCAACCAAAAAAGAGAAACACATGCCTTTTGCAGCAACTTGGATGGAGCTGGAAAAGATCATGCTTAGTGAGATAAGCCAGAAAGAGAAAGAAAAATACCAGATGGTTTCACTCATAGCAGGAGTATAATGGACCAGGCGAGAAAATAACAAAAATAAATGAACAGCCATATACCAGAGACATTTTGTGGAGGTGGAGTGGGGAATGGGATCAAAAACGGGGTGGGGGGTGGGGAGGGAAGTGCACGGGATTATGGTGATGGCACACAGGTGACTTGGTGATGGGAAACCCGCGGGGATTACAATTGAGATGGAAAAAATAAAAATATACAAAATGATGTAAAAATAAACTGTTCTAAAAAAAAAAAAAGTTCTCTCCCGAGATTTTTTTTCTGTTCCTGAGTTTCCTGGTCCTGCACAGACCCTCACTGAGGAAATTCAGAGCTCTGAGCCAAACTCAGTGAAGAGGGTACATGCGGCACTGAGGAGCAGGGGAAAAGCCGGAGCTCTATTTCTCAGCGTCCTAATCCAAAGAGGACTTTGCATCAGTGCATGTTCAGATCGGGAAGAAGCGCATGCTTCCGGAGTGAAGTGTGGGGAGACCCCAGGACACAGAGACAGAGCACAGCAGTGGGAAGCCACCACTGACCCTGACGGGGCGTGGACCCCACAATAGAGAAAGCGCTGCCAGGCTTTGCCCCCACGTGATGTCCAGGACACTGCAGTGGAGCCTCGACATCCAAGGATCGTGGAAATCGCCGGAAATATCACTCAGCGGTGTCCTGGGCAGCCTCTCTGGTGTGTGCATTGCTTTGGGGATTCAGTAATCCCAGACCTTTAGTTCCTAAAGGTATATGGCATGGACTAGCCTGCCTTACACCAGCGCTGTGCCTATTCGGAAATTAAAAGGCGGCTCTCCTGTGAGACACGTGACTCCTGCTGCTGCAGGGTGTCTAATCTTTCCAAGGAGGTCTTTTGAAATGGTGACTAAAGTGGGGTATTAGGTTTGAGGAATTGTTAATGACACCATTTGTTTCTCAGTTAAGTCCACTAAGAAAAATGGGAAACCACAGTTGTTTGCTTTTTGGCAAATTTGGATCACAGATTTGTTTTTGGCAAATTAAAATAGTAGCTTCTCTCTGGTTGGAAGTGAAATGTCCAGGGGTGGGAGTGGAAGCTGGTGAGGAGGGGGCAAGATAAGGGGAGAGTTGAGGGAGGCAAGAGCTTGTGTGTGGTATGTGGGGTGTGTGGTGGGGGGCAGAAGACCTAAGTTCTGCTCCCAACATTTTGTGGGCTTCTGAGAAAATCTCTAAACTCTGCAGGCACCTTCTAGACTCCTAAAATTCTGAACCAAACCCCAAGCATACATTTGAGAATTGTGCACATTTAGAAACAAATCCCAATCGATCTTATTTCTGCTGGTTTAATTTGTGGCTATATTTTTATTTTGCAACCTTGATTTAGAGTGATTTTTTGATAGTGTTCATCTTTATTATGCAATAACGGAACTACCTAAATTTCACAAGTATTTTTTTTCCTCTTAAGACACTAGATGGCATTATAGGCGAGGCAAATCAAATTACCACAAACCAACCAAACCCAAACAAAAACAAACAAGCCCAACCAAATCCAACCAACAAGAAGCCTGACAATAATAGCAAAGCCAGAAAACAAAGACGAAAGACTTTGACCATCATTGTACTTTCCACCAGTTACAAAACCTTCAGTCTTCACCGCGAGTGGTGCAAAACCTCCAGAAACATGAGTGAACTCCGGGCATAGTGTGAGTGGGCTGGGCACAGAGTCCGGATAATCTCCTTTTGGCTACCAGCTTTCAAACTTATTTACTGTGACAGTTCTGTCTGGGAGCCAGCAGGCCTGTGAATACAACAAAAGCTTCCTCTTGTCTGTGATCATTCTATTGCACGAAGCTAGGCTGCACGGTCAGCACATGTATTTACAGTAGCAAGGTTACAGAGACAACCTCAATGCCCAAGACAGAGGAGTGGGCTAAGAAATGTATATCGTCACCATGGGATATGCTACCAGAAAGACAAAAAGGTGAAATCTTGATGTTGGTGACAATACGGAAGGAACTGGCCAAGCGAAGTAAGTCACAAGGAGAAACACAAATCCTGGGTGCTGTCACTGATTGTGGAATATAAAGAAACCAAATGAAGGAACGGACAAAACCAAGCTAGGTCCTGGAAATCTGACTGTAGAACTGAGGCAACCAGAGAGGATGGGGACACACTGGACTATGGCAGAGGACTATGGGTGCCTTGGTGGTGGGCGTGGGGTGGTAACATACATCTGAGGAAGTGTGAACCTTAAATTATATACAGTGCTGTAAATCAACTATCCCTCCATCAAAAGTAGTTGTTTAAAAAAAAACCCAATGTCTCATTTTGCCCCTTCAGTTGAATTCATGACATGCAGTTTAAAAAAAAAAAAAATTACCTAGTGGAACTATCATGAAATGTCTGCACTATACCAGGCACAATGAGAGACATGAAGAAATCTTTAATGATACTTCCTTTTTTAGGATGCCTTGAAAGTCATTTGAGAGCACCCCTAGAAGCTGAGTCTACCCAGAAACTAGAAAATTGGTAGTTGAGTCTACCCAGAAACTGCAGGCTGGTAGTTTAAATGAAGGTTTTATGGAATCACTGGATAGTTAGTGTCTAAGTCCTTAAACTGAGGTACAAACTTCTAGTTTACAGAATAAAAAAGCCCTGGGGATGTCATGCATGGCATGGTGATTACAGTAAGTAATACTATTAGCATACTGGAAAGTTGCTAAGAGGCTAAGCTTAAAAATTCTCATCATAAAAAAAAAAGTAAATGTGAATGGTGACAGATGTTCACAATATGTGATGCTCATTTCGCAGTATAAACAAACATTCATTCATTACGTTGCATACCTGAAACTAATATAATGTCCTAGATACATTATACTGAAAGGCAAACAAGAGATCATAAAAGAAACTGTGCAAAAATGGAATCATGGGGATGTCCATGCTGGGAACAGTCAGCACAGTGAAGGGAAAAAGACCCACATAATGGAAGCTGTATAAAGTTAGAACTCTGAGTTACAAGTAAGATCCTAAAAGTTTGGGGCTTGGCAGGGAGTGGGGTGGGGAAGGGAAAGTGGGGACACATGTGGCAAGGGCCACTGCACCACCAGGGAGGGCCCAGTTTTTTAAAACTCTTATTTATTTGGGTGGGTTGTATTTTCCTTTGGAAATAAAACCTTGAAGTTTAAAATAGAACAAGGACATGGTCAGGCGTTCAAATTCTCAGCCACGTTTCCACACTCCGTGTGCCTTTCCCCAAGAGGAGGTGTGCACTAAGCCAGCAGTGACCCAGAAAGGACAACACTCCATTTGCAGGGGCCCAGTGCAGGCAAGTGTCAAAAGGAGATCCCTTGGTGTGCACCCAAAAGAGGCCTGAGAGCCTGCAGTCTCCAGTGGGGGGAGATGCTGCGGGCTTCAGGGAAGATGGGGGGTGGGGTGGGCAGGAGGAGTGTCACTGACACTTTACCTAAGGAATTTGAGGTGTGAAAATGGGTAAACTGGTAAATTTGGTATCATGTACATATGACCACAATTTTAAAAAGACAACTTAAAAAATGCATAGAACTATTTGATTTTTAAGTGACTGTGTTACTGAAACATAGTTGAAATGTTGTTTAATGCTTTGATTTTACTACAACATTAATATTGGAGAAAGTTCTAGGTGAATAGAGGTTTTATGTGTTATAAGCATGTACCTTGTGCATAGATTTTATGGTATAATTTGGGTCACTCGGGGCCTTTTCACCTGCATTTTCCTTTGATAAAGATGGTAAGTAAGTTATTTTCAAAGAAGGGAGGTGTTATGGAATGTTGAGTATTCTGTGAGTGCATTTCAGGAGGATGGGAGATACCAGGTAGCTACATGTGATGCATTAACAGGTTCATCCGGTTTAAATAAGGAAGGCTGTTGTTAGGCAGGAATTTTTCTTTTTTCTCTTATGCTCTCGGTGAATATTCTAAATGCTTGACTGTGCAGTCACCCCTTAATGGCTGAGAGGAGCTCATCCCCACATTTGTGCTAGGGCTGGGTGGGCCTCTGAGTCTGAGCTACGCTATCAGTTACTTGTGATGTCAGAATTGACTTCTGACTCAACAAGAGTTTACCATCACTTTCCTAAATCTGGTCCAAGAGTAGGTGGGTGCGTATGTGTTTCGTTGTGAGTATAAGAGACCAATGAGCTCGGCAGTAAGGAGTTAGTAAACTGAAACCCTGGCTTCAATCGTTGTACCTTCAGTTTACAATCCAGCAGGCAGCTCTAAAAAGAATGTAACAACCGAAAACAACTGTGTACACTCTTGCAGGTGTCAAACTGCCTTCTAGCCTCTAAGCCATGCTTCCTGGTTTTGACAGGTTACTTTCACTGTCAAGGGTTTACTGCTGCAAAAGGAGTGTTGCTGGCCGGTCTAAATGTTCCTCTCTCTTCACAGTGCGAGATGAGAACAGAAGCACGACGAAAAAACCTTCTCATTTTGATTTTGCATTATTTAACACAGGAAGGGTAAGTTACCTTACAAATATCGACAGAGCTGACTCCTGACTTTCTCTCCACTTTTCCAGACACAGTGTTAAAAACAATGACTAGACTTTATATTTTTCAGAGCACTTTTACATTTACAAAAGAATGGAGCAGAGTTCCCGTAAACCTAGTCACCCTCCCCCTTCCAGCAACCCCTCCCCCCTTAACACCTGTCTTTGGTGTGGCCCATTTGTCCCCATGGAGGCCTCAGTGATGTTGACACCGTGTCGCTCACTCGGCCCACAGTTCACATCAGGGCTCACTGTGGGTGTTCCCTAGTTCTCCGAGTTTTGGCAAGTTCGCCGTGTTGCCTTGCGCCATCATGGCGTGGTATGGAAGTTTTGTTGCTCCACATGTCCCTGCTTCCATCGCCCTGCCTCACCTCCCCGGCAACCCAGACACATTGTCCTACTGCTTCACTTACCTAGAGAGCTGCTGCATTTGAAAACTTTTGACTAGCAAAGTTACCTTGCTCACGAGACTCCTCTCAGGTCTGAAGACAGCGCAGGCGAAGATCGCACAGGTGAGGACTGTGCAGGCCTTCAGGCGAGGTTTCCAGAGCCCCACTGCTGGCTCTGTACACAGAGGTAACACTCCTCAATTTTCCTTCCCTCAAAAAAAAAGGTATCGGACTCCCCTGAACGACCTACGCTCAACTCTTTGACACGCGCAATATCTATTCTGTAACTGGTGGGGGAGGACATTGGGACGCACTTGAGTTTGGCCACCTGCCTCATTTAAAATCACACAGGCACCTGCAATCAAGGCTGCCGGTAGGTAGGTTGGTATATGAGCACAAGAAAGCTGACCCATAAGGTGACTGAGGCCACTGACTTCAGAGTCTCCTTTCTTTTCACGTGTCAGCCAGGAAGAATATCGTCAGGTTTTAGGGTTAGGGCTTAGAAAGGTTTGTGTTAAAGGCAGTGGTTTTCAAGTGGGGTGATTTTGCCTCTGGGGAGCATCTAGGGATATCTGGAGCCTTTTTGACTATCACCCTGGCAGCTAGTGAGTAGAGGGAATGATGCAAAATACTTTCAAGCACTGCATAGCCCCCTACACCAGAGTGAAATGGCCCCAACTGTCAGTGGTGTCAAGATGGAAACTTCTTCAAGCACAACAAATCAAACAGCTGCTGGTATTTTCCCAAAAGGTTGAAGCCATCTCTTCCTCCAGTTAACCCAGCCCCCTCTAGGGGGGTAGGGGAAGGAGTGAAAGCAGAATTGAGCTGGAGAATCAAGTGACCCTAGTTTTGGGGTTAGAGGCAGCCGCAAGGACAGGCGAACTTGTCATCGTAGCTCTGAATACTGGTAGCTGTTACTTTGTTTTTTTTGTTTTTAAAAATATTTTTTTATGCACACAAGAACTCTGGGGTACAGGCCAGAGGTAGGAGGGTGGTGAGAGGATTCCCCAGAGACTGAGTGGGGAGCAGAACAGGCAGATCGACGAAGTACACTGCTGAGGGGAGCAGCAGAGGTCTGCTGACCCATGTGGGGCACCTTCCTGGGGATTAAACTCGTGCTGCAGTGGCTGCAGTAGCTTCACGGTGCTGTGCTTTAACCCGTTGTGCCACCAGGGAGGACCCCTGGTAGCTATTGCTCTCTTGAGGGAAATGGCCATCCCAGAGACCTTGAGGAGTTTTAAGTTTTAAGGTAGGAATTAATGTCTTTATGTTATATCTGAGGACACTGGGTTTAACTGAGCAAAGGAACTCAGTCACTTGGCTTTATGGGCAGGACTTCCAGGCTTCTCTTGCACCAATGTAGAAGATTCATTTTTGCTCAGGAGGCCCTCCCTGTTGGCACAGCGGATTAAAGCGCAGCACTGCAAGCGAGGCACAGCCCCTTCAGTGCAAGTTCGATCCCTGGCCCCAGAGGTGACCACATGGTGCAGCAGACCTCTCCTCTCTCGCCCGCTGCTCCCCACTCTGTCTCTGGTGAATCCTCTCACTGCCCCTGCACCTCTGGCCTGTACCCCAGTTCTGTATGCTTAAATAAATCTTTTTAAAAAAGAAAAGAAAATCATCTCAGGAAAATCAAAATAGGTAAAGGCCACAATTTTGAAGTTTTTTTTTTTAAGTTTGAAAATGAAATATCTCCAGCTGTATTTATCCCTGCTTTTACTATTTAAGTCATTAAAGGATTTGGGTCCTTTTAGATTTCTGATGCATGTATTGATATTTTGGTGGCCAATTATAGCACTGCCCCTTTGCATAGACATTGTTATTGAGTAAACAGATTTATTTTCTCCCTGTGACTGACCATGTGTGGCCGTCCTCATAACACCATAATATTAAGATTGTGGAAATAGCTTTATCTCCAAAGAAAATGGGACGGAATGCATCATTTTGAAAACAAAATCTTTCTTCAGTCCACTTAGCTTGCAGAACATGGTTTTATCACACACTTTGCTTTTTGCTGCTGGGATTTAAATTTATTGAAAAAAGCGATTTATTCTTTTCACATCACCGCCAGTCTCAGGCCAGAAAATGCCCCGATTGGTTAGCAGAACAGACAATACTCAACTGCCAAATCTCTGAACCCCACACAGCAGTAAGTGGAACTGAGGGCCGGGGCAGAGCAGGGGTGATTCTGGTCCTCTCTCTGCCTCTGTTTCCACCCTGAAATTGACCTGGACAATCTGCATTTAGGTGGTGGGTTGCTTCTCTCTAGTGACTGTCAACCTGCTCTAAGGCAAGGAAGCTTTCGGATTGGAGCCAGGACTCGGAAGCCGAGGGCCTGGGTTCAAGTATTCAGCCTACTCTATGCTAACCACTGATCCTGACCGGTTACTTATACTCTGCCCCTCATATATCAAGTGGGGTCATCGGAGGCAGTGTTTGAGTGTCGGTATATTACTACTATGAGGGTTAAGTATGTGCAATCCTTAGAATAGCACCAGCACAAAGAGGCACACATGAGCACTCCTGTTTTGTTTTTTTTTTAAAGTACAGAGTAGGAATGATTGGGATTTTTGTATTTTAAATACCCAACCTGGTTTAGCAAAGGACCCTAAGTAGCTGGAATGTAGGTTTGGCCCATTTTACTTTATCTTTAGATGACATCTCAGCTCTACTCAAAGAACCCTGGACTAAAATACCTCAAGGCCACATTTTTTTTAAGAGCGAGAACCCTGGAGTAGAGGTTCTGCAGAAAGTTGATGTATGTTACTTTAAAAGCATTTGTGGCGAGGGAAACAACAAGCATTGGGTTAAATGAAGTTAAACAGGCTTCCTTGTTTCAGGACTTCTTGGATCCATCTAACTTACTAATGCGCAATAGCAATCTCTGGCCTGAAATCACCGTTTTCAGAGTTTTACAAGCCATTTTCACCAAGGCACCCTATTTTTTTCCTCAGCCCACTTTAGGTACTAGTTTTCTGGAACACTTTGAAAAACACTGCCTTCATAGATTGACTCGTATAGCACATGAACTCATCTGATAAGATCCAATACTGTGAGCACAGTATTAATAGATGCTCAATATATATAATTTGAAAAGTTCCATTGAAGAAATTACTAGCATATAAATGGGTAGAATAATCAGATATCAGACACAACCACTTACACAGGCAGCTCCTGACATGATGTATTTTGTATTCTAGAAAATGTTTCAGGAAGGAGAGTTGGAAAAACAAAGAGACAAAGTCAGGACATGTGTACCTTCTGTTGGTGCTGTTATGGGCCAAGATTTACTGTACAAAGCATGCATTCCCCCATCTCTGCCACAAGATGGCCCTTTGCATCACAAATCAGTGAAAATTCCTGAGATCTGCTGGGTAAGGGACTTATGAGTGGATTATCAAAATGAAAAGTGAAACAGGGATTTTGAAGTACACATAGACCTGCCTTTGACAAAACACTAAGAATTCTGCAAAGAGGATATATTCTTGTAGGTTGGAATAAATAATCAAGGCAACCTTTGAGAGAAGGCAGTGTGAGCAGGTCTTGAAAGATGTGTGAAATCCGACAGACAGACATGATGGAGAGGAAGACAGGACATAGCATTGGTGGAACAATCAGGTTAGCAGAGGGCCCAGAGTTCAGTGTGAGGGAGGGTGGGTGGGACAGGAAGTGCAGTCACGCACACTGGGGTGATTCTCAGCCTCTCATTCCCCCCTGCTGTGTCTGGCTCACAACCCAGGCTCACAACCCCTCACTTTTCTTCCAGAAGGGGCCTGTGCTCCTCTGCAGGCTCCTCCCACTAGCCCCATTCAGTCCAGATGTCATTCAGGCTCCTACTCCGTAACAGGAATGAGTTGGGGGCCATGAGGCTCTCCCCCCATGGCATGAGGTTCTTGACTCTGGCCCAGGAAAGACTTAGCATGGGGAGCAGAGTGAGGTGGCAATGAAGCTTTTAAGGCAGATGATAGTGCACACTCAGGAAGCAGTGTGGGCAGATTCAGGAGAGAATTGGGCCTTGGATATACATATGTTTAGTTTGAGGTGACTCACAGGTGGGGTCCTGACCCAATTCTAACACCAGTCTTCTGTTTAGCAGGACTATTGCGCCATAGCAGAATCCCAGACCTTAACCAGGACGTGGGTCATCTTGCTGTGGAATGTACACGGATCTTTCTAGAATCACTGGGATGGGGGAGGCTACAGTTTACCTCACACCCCCCCTTCAGAGATTTCAGCCCCTTTCATATTTATGTAACCTTTCGCCTACTAGCCCAGTGAAAACAACAGGAAGAGCAAAGTTTTGTCCTTGAGTCCTGTCCTCTGTCCCAGGACCCTTCCTGTCTCAGTCCCTCTGGAGATTGCTCACCCTCCCTGATTTGTTAAAGGAGTAAAGGGACACCAGGCTCAATCTTCTGTAGCTGCATCCTGCTGAATGGGGAGGGAGGAGGGGGCAGCCCTACCTATAGGTTTGAGGACTGAAATTGTGTCAGCCTGAGAGACACACACACACAGAGCTCCAGGTTTGGGACAGGTAGAAACCCCTTTAATAACGTTGACACCAAGAGTGCGACCAGACCAGATCCAGCCACTAGGAGGATGAGAGTAACTTCCAGAATCCCATTGAGTGAGGAGACCCACAGTCACCGTTCTGTAAGCCAGTCCCATGGGCTTGATATCCCTTGAATTCAGCTGCCTTTTGGAGACAAAGCAGCTAAGTCATTTAAACAGCAAGGGCCAAAGATGGAAAGAGTCAGCACATGCCACTAACAGTGGCCACAGGACTGAATGCGCCCATTAACCCACCTGAAGCGGTTAGATCAGCGTCCAAGGCCAGGGTGCAGTTCCTTCAAGGTGCCGCCTCTGGGAGCAGCTGCTTTCTCCGCTGCTTCGATTCACAGCTGGCCCTGGCGCTCAGTTCAAGGTTGTTGCTATTCTTCATCTGTAAATACAAGCCTCGGTGAGAGAGAAGTTAGACAGTTTATTTTTCTATTTGTGTTCTTTAAGGTCTGAGAGTAATTTAACCAGTTAGCCTCCATCACGGGAACACAGAACTGTTTTGCTGCTGCCCTCATCAGTTAGTTTAGGGAACATGGGAAGCGCAGTCAATCTAGTCTAATTTCTGTCTGACCTGAACATCGCGATGCTGGAAAACACTCAGAATGTGCTGTGATGTCAGTAAAGGTTAGGGGCAGCTGGCAGTGAGAGTTTCCATCTGGCATTTTATTTTTGGTTGGCTTTACAAGTACATATATATAAACATATGCACTGAGTCATTAAATTGTTTGGAAATTGAGAGAAAATGTTAACAGTCACTGTCTTTGGTGGAATTTTCTTCTGAACTTATCTGTAGTTTCTCGTTGTTTTTCTTTTTAAGTGAACATGTTATTGCTTGATCCTAAGCAAAGTAAATCATAAAACTGATTTAGCTAGTTCTCTCTATTAAAAGGGAATTGAGATGTAGCCTAGAAGCCTATGAGTCATCAGTAAGTATAGAAACTGGTTGACTACAGTCAATTGATGCTTGCAAGGTCTTTGAAATTAGCAAGGTCATTAACCATGGCAATCTCTGCTAAGAAAGTTCCATCTTCTAACTGATCCGAATCTAGGTTAGGGAAGAGCGCTCAATACATGAGAAAAATTTTCCTTCTCCTTTCCCAGGTTCTAACCTGCAGCAGGAATCTTTCATCAGAGGTCCCTGGATAAGCCCCTAAAATTTTTTTTTTATTTAAGATTTATTTATTTATTCATATGGAACCCAGGGTTCAGGCCAGAGATGTGGAGGGTGAGAGGATTCACCAGAGACAGAGAGGGGAGCAGAACAGGCAGATCGATGAAGCACACTGCAGAGGGGAGCAGCGGGCGGGTCAGGAGAGGTCTGCCGCGCCATGTGGTCACCTCCGAGGCAGGTGGGATTCAAACTCATGCAGAAGCGGCTTTAGCTTCTTAGTGCTGTGCTTTAACCCGCTGCGCCATCAGGGAGGGCCCAGCCCCTAAAATTTTATGCTAATTTGTGCATATTTACAGATGTGCACATTTTCCAGAAAAGCATCCTTGGTTTTAAAAAAAAGTTAAGAATTAAGATTAAAACCTGAAGGAGTCTTACACTTTCAGAGGGTTGTGACAGAAGGTGTTTGTTCCTACTGCTAGCCCCGCTTAAATCAGCTTCATGACGAGTACATTACAGATGGCAGGAAAGAAAGAATTCACGGTGAGGACTTAGCTTACTTACAGAGGGCCCAGGCAGTATAGAGTATGACTGACAAGAAACATTAACAGAAAGAATACACCAGTGGATGGATGACTTTTTTTTTTAAATAATTTTGCTTGATGATATTGACCAATGTATAATTAGCATTTGCTTCAAAGCTCATGATATCTTTTTGAATACCACGATGGTGGCAAGTCTTGTTTGGTAGGCTTGAACTTTGGTTTTATCAACTGCCAATATTACCCAGAATGAATAATGGCGAGTGATGAGGCAATTAAGTTAAGCAAATACCCATTTTTGGCTAAAAATGAATAAAGATAAATTACAAAATACTTTCTTCATTAATTTACTTACTTTTTTAAAAAAAGATTTATTTATTTATGCATACAAGAGTTGGGGTATAGGCCAGAGATTTGGGGGGTGGGAGGGAGAGTGAGAGGATTCACCAGAGACAGAGTGGGGAGCAGGACAGGCAGATCGACAAAGTACACTGATGAGAGGAGCAGCGGGCCGGTCAGGAGAGGTCTGCTGCGCCATGTGGGTCAGCTCCCTGACCAGGGATTGAACTCATGCTGAAGTGTCTGCCTATAGCTTCATAGTGCTGAGACTTAACCCCTTGTGCCACCAGGGAGGCTTCCTTACTTGACTTTTATGTACTTCTAAAATCATTCTGAACAATGATGATATCTTTAGAATAACTGTGTCGCTTCTAGAGGCAACATATAAAGGGCAATATTTATATACATTTAGCATGTGACACTCTTCCTTCGCAAGCAGACTTTATATAGCCCAGTTTTCATCTAATGAGCCGTTTGACATGGTCTTACGCTTTGTACTGAGTCTCTTTGGACTTGCATCACCTGTTTGCCTTTATCCTTTTTACCCAGAATTAATTTTTTTTTCTTTTTTTCTGTGTAATGGCCAGATATTTTGACACAGCCAATGCTTTGGAGCAAGAAACTAAGCTGGGGTTACGACGCTTTGAAGTTTGTGACAACATTGATCTTGAAACCATTTTGATGGAATATGAGAGCTATTATTATGTAAAATTTCAGAAATACCCCAAAATTATCAAAAAGGCATCAGATACAGGTACATGGCTATATTCTAGAATTCAGAATTCTGAATTTTGAATGCTATCTTCAAATGTTTCCCAGGTCTTTACTCATACAATGTTGGTTTTGGGTTTTGTTGTTTTAACACCTTGGTTAAATAACCAATCAGACTGGTCAGATGAATATGAAATTAAGTTGAACAGCACCATCATATAAACTGCTACAGGAGTCTCAAATCTTTCACTTTTGACACAGTCTCTCACTTTCAACACAATCAATAAGATATCCTAATTTCTTTTATGAAAGCCTTTCAATTACTTACCCAAAAGTGAAAGAGAAAAATTTGGAACATATGTCTAGTAGCAATCACTCAGCATAAAAACTATTAACTAGCATTATTTTTTAGATGGCCAAGGTTTAGTTATATTAGACAACATAAAGACAAAATAAATAGAAATGCCTTACTTTATCATGAAAACCAAAGAACATATGTACACTTCAAATCTTAGATGGTTTCCAAAATTTTGTTATCTTGCTCTAAGAACCATCACCTCTATCTTCAAAAATTGTTAAACCGGTAAAGACATTTTTTCCCCCAAATCAGAATTACCATGTGAATAAAGGCATTTCTAAGTATAGAGTAACCAAAGCCTAAGTAAATTATACCTACCCATTTTAATCTAAGATAAGCAGTGTGGTTTCCTCTAAGATAGTCTTTCTTCCTCATTTTATTCCATGCCTCTGATTCTGAACTCAAAGACTAGACCAAGAAGACTTGTGTGGCCTCTCATAGATCCAGCACAGCTGATTTAAATGTGATCATCTGGACGCTGATGTCCCTTGAGTCACGTTGGCATTTGTTTGAGAATATATGTTTTAGAGAAGTGAGAACAAAACCCCAGTGTATGATGGTGCTTTTTGAAGACTGACATCACTCTGATTTTTTTAGAGATGAAAAGAGCTGGTAGAGGAGGATAAGTGTCAGAAGACTTTTTTTCTTGTTGGGAAGACCTATTATCTATTTTGCAAATAACATGAAAATGAGTATTGGTGAAGCTAATAGCTCATGTATAGATAATGAAATGCTTTTGAAAGCCATCAATCCAGATAATGATCAATATAATGCAAAGACCCAGTATAGGTTAGCAGTCAAGGAGGCTGGCTGGAGGAAAGATCTAAAGTGAGGGCCCAGTGTTTTGTAGTAACATTGACTTAGATGTCTGTAAGTGGGGGAAGTAATTATAAACCAAGGGAGATCATTGTCCTGTTTACAAGGCACTTGTTAAGCCACAGACTTTAACATTTCATGTAGGGACCAGGAAACCAAGAGGAACGTCAATTTAAAATAGCCAGGGCTGAATCAGAGCTGGAAGGGGTCCTGAGCTCCCTCCCAGCGCAGGGTTCCGGGCTCAGTGTCCTTGGCTGGTTTTAGAGCTGAGTGAGTCTTGGTGAAAAAAGTATGGACCGTAATTACGGAGCCTCCAAGATGATTATTGACATGATTTGACTTGATGTCTAGATTGCTAGTTCTGACCTATCTTGGAACTACTTTCTTCTGGGGTATTAGACACAGTGCCTTTGTTTGAAGGTAAACTGGCAGAGTGCCGATAAATGTTCCCTGCCAGACTCACGCACTCATCCTGAAGTCCCCTGTGCCACAACAAAATGGTGTTGAATTCTTGGGCATAAGGAAGTGGCAACTTTAAAGCCAGCCCATTTTAGAGTTGCCACCAATACGGACGTGGCCCCTGTAGGTCTGTCTTTGTGTGGAAATGCCTGGGAAGCAGACTTCTTTCTCCGGCTGGTGATATCACTTCTTGTCAGGTGAGAATAGCTTAGTAGAGTCTCAAGGTTTCAAAAGGCTGTAGCATAAGTTTTCAGAGTATAAGTGAAAGCTTATTTTCTCTCGAAAATTAAACTGTTTCTGTGGGGGGGAAGGAAATGCACTGGACTATGATGATGGCACATGGGTGATTTGGTGATGGGAAGCCCATGGGGATTACAACTGAGATGAAAAAATGTATAAAATGATGTAAAAATAAGCTATTATATTATTTTTTAAAAAAACAAAAAAAATTAAACTCTTTCCTTTTCTCCCAATATTTGTTTTGCCACAGCAGAAAATAATTTACCACTAAGAAGTGGAGGGAAGACCAGAAGGTAAAGTACATGGTGATTCATCTTGATCAACTCAACTATAGGTGTTTGGGGGTTCCCTTTCCTTTTAAAAGCTCATCCAATGCAACTGCATGACTGTCTACTAGCAATACCAGATTGTGGTCTAGGGCCCTTGGGGACCCACTCATGGTTTCCCCTCATGTTATAGGTGCCCAGGATGTGGGCCAATGTCTAAAGTTTCCCCTGGCTTTATCCCACAAATAATTACACCCAATCATCTTTGTAGACCATGTGGAAGGATAGGAGATTAAAAGTCCCAGGCTTAATTTCTGGCTTTGCTACTTAGCTAGCTTGAAACCAGTTTCTGACACATAGTAAGTTCCTAGCACGTAGCGAGCACCCAAGAAAGTGAGTGTCCCTTTTGTAAATCATTGCATTTCTTTATGAACTCCCAGATCACATGTCCTGACCTGTCTGAAGATGATCAGGTCTTTCTTTTCTCACACTAATCCGATAGTTCTTTCTTCAGTTTCTCAAACCCAAATTTCACTGGGATTTGTAACAACCAGTTGAAACCCCTGTTTCTCGAATGGTTCTGGACTGACACATCTTCCCACAAGCCCACTCCCAACCCGCTTGCCTCAATATCCTCCTCATTCCTCTCTTCCACTGCCTGAAACACACACACACACCCCTACACACCTCCCTCACCCCTTTAGAGTCTATTTGCAAATGCAAGGACACTGCAATTGGGCTGACATAGCTTTGGGGCATCAAGGCCTGGCCTCAGGGGAAGGTTGATATGGGGTTTAGGTGAGAAGCACAACACTTTTGGGCAGTCACCAAAATTTAAAGCAATTCTTAGATTATGATTTTAAAAAAGGAAACTTTGTGCACTCCCTGGTGGCGCAACGGGTTAGGACCCAGCACAGCAAGCTGGCAGCAGCTACTTCAGTGTGAGTTCGATTGGCCCCGGAGGTGACCCACATGGCTCGGCAGACTTCTCCTGACCTGCCCGCTGCTCCCCTCAGCAGTGTGCTTCATCAGTTGGCCTGTTCTGCTCCCCACTCTGTCTCTGGTGAATCCTCTCACCACCCCACACCTCTGGCCTGTACTCCAGTTTTATATGTCTAAATAAATAAATAGATCTTTTAAAAAAAAAAGAGTGACTGCTGATAAAAAAGAAAAGAAAAGAAAACTTTGATTGTGATTCTGAGGAGCTCGCCCTCCTCATAAGGCCGGAGTCTCTGTCCCCTTTTGTCTCCAGTCCCTTGTCTGTGGCCTAAGAAGGAAGGGATAGAGACACCGCACGGCTCTCTTCGATCTTGCTTGTGAAGCTGGTGGTGGAGCCCACTCACCTCTGATCACACTCCCAAGAACCCTTGGCCAGAGGCTCCCTCTGCTTCATGCTATTTAAGAATCCCTTTGTTGTTTGACCAAAATGTTATTCTTTTATTTATAGTTTCCTAAAACTAGTCAGAGCTCTGGTGATAAATAACTACTTGTGAAGAGAAATGGCGAGGAACATTTCAAGAGGCAGTTCTGATTATCTTTTAGCCACACATTCAGGCCTGGAACTTCCCAGCTTTCCCTGCCTATAGAGACATCAGCGCTGCCTCCTCGAGGGCTGGAGCGTGGTGGCACAGGCTACTCATCTCCTGCCTGAGTGGGTGCTTGTACGTGACAGGCATGAGGGTTGGCTAGCAATGGCTGGAGTCAGAACAGCTGGGGAAGTAATAAATGGTGTTTGTCTACAATTTTATGTTCAAAGACAGTCGTTGAAAGGAAAGAGGGTGTCACGGGACTGACTTTCCCTGGTTTGGTGTCTCACTTCAGAGTGAGCTCCTGGTTTACAAACTTGCAGATGACCTACTGAGGACAGTTTATGTCAGGTGCTGGATAAGAAATCTAGGGTGCCAAAAGATCCTGATAATTTGGGGTGTGGGCCCAAATCAGCAGAAGGAAATTGAATGAAATAAAATTTAAGCTCCTACAAAGATCCACAACAAATAGCCCTCCTGTTACAGTGTCAGAGACCTCAAAATTTTTCCTCTTTCCCCTAGAAATTTGAGTTCCAACCACAGATGCAATATGTGTCACCCGTATCATTTGATGGCCACTGTGGTCTCAGGCCTCCTCAATAGAAAAGTAGTGTCCCAATAGTGGGCTCTGTTCCTGTCAGAAGACAGTGGGCAAAAGGAAAATGACCAGGGTGAGGAAGAATCTGGGAGTCAGGGAACTTTAGGAGTGACTGGAGCAACTGGGGGTGTTTGGCTTGATAAATAGACGTGGGAGGGAGGTGCTCCTATGCTGTTGCAGTTCGCACTTTTGGGGGGGGCAGTGATTGGGCCTTCTCTGAAGAATTCTGCAGGGCATACCTAGGATGGGTGACTAAATAAATCTGGCTCCATGCTAGGAAGAATTTTGAAATTGTTAGTGTTGGCTGGCAATGGGTTCATTAGTAAATTTACCCCTACTGGGAGATCAAAATGGGAATACAGACCCCCAGATCCCTGACAATCTCACAAAGGAAGTCTGCACAACTTGAACTATATATACATACATACATACATACATACATATGTGTATGTATGTATGTGTGTGTGTGTGTATCACCTCACTTCATTTAAATCAAGGCTATGCAGCAGGGTTTGCTCTTGTAAATGTTTGAAATTCACTTCATAGACATTTCATTTCAGTGCCAGCCAAAGACCTGAGGCCAGACATTATTTCCAGACTGCAGATGAGAAATACACCTGAGAGACTGTCAGTCGCTGCCCCCTCATGAGGCCCCTGGGGTCTGAGGCTGATCGGCCGGCAGACACCTGGGTGGGATGGCTGGCACGGGTGGGCTCACCAGCCACAGCTAGGCGTCCGTATCAGACGCAGACAGCTTGTCTTTTCTCACAAAGAAATGGAGTTGAAGTAGCCACTCACTGAGGACATGGGGAGAAAAGTTTGAGTGAATCTCCTGCAATCACGCCTCACGTGTAAGCACCAAAGAATCGAGTGGTGCAACCGTGATGAAAGCTATTTTAAAGACCCAGGGTCCACTCAGTACCATTCAGTACCCTGGGGTGTGTTCAGAACCATGAACACACCCCCAGGCTGTATTTGAGCCAGAGGCCTCTTTCCAACCTGGCACCTTTCCCCTGGCCTGAGCGGTACTTTGTGAGAAAGGTAGAAGGCGCAGTGGAGGAATGTTGGCAAAGCCACGTGTCCTGGGACATGAAGCTAGGAACAGAGGGGCAGAAGCCAGATGGTAGGGAGAAAAGAAGAGGGTGGTTCTGGGGGGCTTCCAGAAGAAGGCGGGCTCCTCTGGCTGGTCTTGGAGGAACCCAGCAGATTGACTGGAGTCAGTCAGGCCAGGATGGGGAAGGGGAGAGGAAGAGGAGGGTGCAGATAGAAGGACCTTATTATGGGGTGTCTGCATAGCTTTCCAGAACTATCTTTCAGTGTGTACCACAGTTGCTTATTAAGTGGTTGAAGTCATTTCCACCAAGGTTTTTGCTCTCCCCCTTAGAGCGATGAGCGACGCTTGTCAAAATCTTCCCAAGATCAATCAACAGAGGCCTCGGTCCAAAAGCACGGCGGGGAAGTCAGGGAACGCCAAATCCCTCCATAAGGAGCATCTGAAACAGGTTGGCACAGCTTTGCTTCGTGTTGGTGAAATCGCAGAGGGGTGAGGAAGGGCTCTAACAAAAACTCACGTTTACTTATGTGGAGGACCTGTGCTGTTTAAGTTACCTGTGATTTCGTTAACTTGTAGATTTTCTTCCAGCACACTGGGCTAAAACCAGGGACAGGTTCCTTGGCTCCCTAAGGTTTCTTAAGTGGAGCAGGAAGAGTCCTTTCTCCACCCAGCCTTTCTCCTCTGAGTGCTGGACCACTGCCAGGAGAGGGGAACCTGGGCCGTCAGAGTGGGGGGCGCACACAGCTCCATGCTCTCGTGAGGCAGCTGCAGGGGGCAGGTCTTCTGTCCCGAAGCACATCCCTGGGTACCGAAGAGTGGGCCAGGGATGGTGTTGGTGTGACTGGGTGTCTCAGGGCATCCGGTGGGGTTTCTCCAAAGCATTCATGGCTGGTTCAGGCCTCCACATTGGGTGTTCTGGGGAAGGAAATGGACAGCAAGAGGAGAGAGCCCAGTAGGGGGTGAAATCGAGACTCCTGACTCTGGAGATCCATGCTAGAAGCTTCTGGTTTAGTACAAAACATGAGGTTTCAAGGAAAAGAGAAGCCAGGAAGTTGCGAAAGGGACTGGAAAACATTAACATCGAGTCTGTCTGGTGGCCAGAAAGGAATGATCATGGAACGGGTCTCCTCCCAGGAGGTTGTCTGGCCTTCTCACTGCAGGCTGAGCCAGGCGAAGGGAGTGAAGGGGGAGTCTGGGAACCCCCGGAGGCTCACTGACCGGGAGGCTCGTTGACCACTGCTTCTCCTAACTCAGGCTCGCCTGGCCACAAATACCTGGTGTCTGAGCCTCCCCACGGCACGGCACATACTTGTTGGACTGTGTGGAGGTGGCGGAATCGCACCTGGGGTTCCCCACTTACAGAACTGATGTGGGGTGATGGACTAGGCTGTTGTAACCAGCATCTCCAGGTCGCTCCCCACAGTGGACTTCTCCTCTTCTTTCAGGAGGTTGTCAATAGCACTCATGTGCAGAATGCTGACTTTGGCTTACGTGTATCAGGGATCAACAAAGGTGGTGGCGAAGAAAACCTCCACCCACCCAAAGTAAGCGCAACTCTGAGCCTAACACGGAAAGGGAAAATTTCCCTTCTTTTCGCAAAAGTGAAAATTAAACATTTTTTTTCTCTTTTTCAATTTTTAACGTACTGTTGAATCATCTAGCATGTTTTAATTTTTTTTTTTAGCCTCCACCAAGCCACCTGTGTCCATGCCCCATCTGGCTCCCTTCCGCATCCCTGCCACCCTTTTTCCTATTCCCTCTGGTAACCATTAACTTGCTTTTTTGCTGAGTTCATATTTTTATCATTGTCTACTTGATATTTATATTCTTCAGATGAGTGAAATCGACTGAAATCTGTCTTTCACTTTTTCACTGATTTCACTCAACATCTTCACCTAAAAGTCCATCCACATGGTGCCAAATGCCACCATTTCATCTTTCTTCACCGGAGTGTAATATTCCACTGAATGAGCACTCCCACAGTTTCTGTATCCATTCATCTGTTGAAGGGCACTGGGGTTGGTTCCATTATTTAGCAAAAAAAGTTTTTTTTTGGCTAGTGGGAACATTAATATCTAGTGATGCAGGGTTGACTAAGCAGAACCTTGGACGAAGATTAGTAGCTGGGGGCTCTGGCCTGCTTCCCCTTTCTGGATGAATGGTGCTCAATGAGTGCCTACTCCAACCCCTTCCAAGGAGCTCAGTTTCTTCAACTGTAGATGATGGGGATTGAAAGGGATGTTCCTTGCAGCCTAAAAAATTGGTCTACATTGAGGAATTGCAGCCTCGTGGTTACTGTTTATGCCTTATAGGGTGGATGGTTTCTCCTTGGGCCTCTATTCCAGGCTGGAGTATCATTTTATGGAAGCTCTTCGAAACCCCAGTTAATATAGAGTTGATCTTGTCTTGATAGATGTCTCTTACCCCTTTTATAATGAAGCTAATGTCTTTAGTCATAAATAACAGCTTCTTAAACAGGAAAGACCCCAGTTGGGTGGATGTAGACAAAAGGTGGCTAAAATGTTATCACTTGCTTCTCTCAGTTGTGACTTGGAATTGTATGTCTTTGAGAGTCATCTTTCTTCCTTGGATCAAATTCTCAAACTACAGGTCATTTGACTTGGTGTTGGCCAGCTCTTCTTAGTCAAACTGCGCTCTGTGTGTGTGTGTGTGTGTGTGTGTGTGTGTGTTTGACCAGGAAGCTGGAATGTTTCCCTGGAAATCAGGGAAGATATTCCGTTGGCCTGAACTGGCTCCTTTGAAGGGCGGCAGTGACCTGGGTGATGGCTAATCAGGAGACATTGGAATCAGTGCTGGAGAAATCCTCCCTGTTTACCTTCACTTCATTGTGTTTTCAGTCACTTTTTTGCCAACATTTTTGCATCAGTTTTTCTCGCATGAATGTCTCCTGTTGGTAGTATTGGACAATTTCTGGTCAGGTCCCAAGGAAGGGACTATTTAACCCACCACTTAACCTTTCAAAGAGCCTGGCTATAAATTCTCTTTCCAGCAAAAATGTCCTCAGGGTAAAATGTAAATGGTTTTCTTCCTAATATTTCAAATATTACTAAGCTGAATGAGGGTGGATGGCAGGAGCCCATCTCCAAAATGGGTCTGTCATGGCCAAATTGGGGCCCCTTGGCTCATGACTCCTGAGCTCCCCTGGAGTTTAATGGATGTGTTGTCTGTCCCTAATGGCCCACCTGGGTTCCGACCTTCCCAGCTGTGTAGCCTTGGAAAGTTGTCTCATCTCTCGAAGCCGGTTTCTCTGTCTATAAAATGGAGCTAAGCAGTGTCACTTTAAATGTAGTGAGTGGAGATCCAGGGTACAGTGACTGGTAGGTAATAAACACTCGGTCTTGCGAGTAGAGATCCAGGGTACAGTGACTGGTAGATAATAAACACTCGGTCTTGCTTTCTGTGCTCGCCCTTGCTTTTAGCTTCTGCCTGTGGGGGAGGCTGGCACTGTGGGGGAGGAAAAGGGGAGATGGATATCTGAGTTTGAATCCTGGCCTTGAGTCACTCTCAGCTGGGTGGCCCTAGGCAGACCACGTATCAATGACTTCTCTGGTCTTCCTTCCACATCTATGCAACTCTGGTGCCACCTCCAGCTAGCAGAGCTCTTAAGCTGGAAATAATCCTAACGTGCACACCTGCTCTGTGCCAGGCACTGCTGCGTGCTGCGTGGGCCTCACAGCTGGGAAGCAGGCGCTACTGGGACTCTAGAGCAGCCAGGGCTTCCTGTGTGTGCAATAACCTGCAAGGTAGAGACAACATGCAGGACGTAGGCAGCAAGGAGCAGTATAGGTATAGCTGGTAGAGCAGGAGCTGAAAAATGCTAGCAAATTTGGACTCAAATCACCCTCATCCCAAAGAATTTACTTATAACTTCTTTTCAAGAAGCCCCGAGATGAAGAAATTTCATGTTCATTATCAGTGTAGGTCTGAAGTCTGCCCTCACGCCAAGGGACATAGTATGACTTGATATGACGAAGCAGAGCGGGCAAGGACATATCACCTTCTCTCTGGTTTTAGTGGCATAAATAAAGAACGCTCCCTTTCAGGGCCAAATCATCGACTTCCGAGGACTAATCACAGATGCCATCAAAGGAGCCAGTGGTGAACTGGGCCTGAACAGCATCAACTGTGACCCAGACCCCTCTGTAAGTAGATTAGAGGGGATTTCTTCATGCAAGCTGCCTCCCCCTCCCCCAGGCAGACTTTAGAAACAGCATTTTGAACTCAGAGATCAAGTCGAAGGTCTCGGCACCTTGTTACCCTCTGTGTCACCAAGACCTGCGCCGCCGTGCTTTCTCCCTAAGTGAGGAAGGAGTCGGTAACGTGAAGCTCTCTGTTCCCACCACCAGGAGCGATTGCTCAAGCCGCTCAGCGCATTTATTGGCATGAACAGTGAGATGCGAGAACTGGCAGCCGTGGTGAGCCGGGTAAGATCTGATATTCAATTCACAAATTTACGGAGGTGATTGGGGCTCCTGGAGCACTGCGGGCTGCTTCTTTTATTAATAACAATAAATATGATCATTTATTTATAAAGTGCCCCCACTTGCGAAGGCACTCATATTGTTTAGAGGCACAATAATGCATGATAAATAAATTATAGAATCATAAAATTACAATATAAAAAGCCCACCATCTCACTGTAGAGGCCAAGAAAACCAGCAGAGAAAAAAACCAAGAAAGAAAGGGACAGGTGAATGGTTTTAGAGCCAAGAGTCAGGGAGCGTATCATGAAGAAGGAGAGAACATATCTGTGTCTCGTTTAAACAGTCAAAGCCTGGAAATAGGAATGTCGGAGTCCAGCGATTTCATTATGGAAAATTTCCACACAAAACAAGATTCGTAGGAAGGATCTTATCATCCAGATTTCTCCAGATTCCTTTGGAATCCAAAGGCAGTGAGAGCAATAGTCAACGACAAAAGCTTGAACTTCCTCTTTCTAGCTGCGTGACTCTGGGCCGGTTCTTTGGGAATAGAATATGTTTGGGTGCTATCGAAGACATTTGTGATTTCCCGTGATCTCCATTTAATGGCAGACTGAAGCCACAGCAGACTTAAGGAGCTGTGGGGAGGAATGAAAGGTTTGCAAGCTCTGTCTGTGCAATTTATTGCATACCTACCACGTGCAGAAAGTAGGAAGATGTTCTGGGCAAAGGCTTGTTGGACAGACTGCCTTGTGCTTTGAGCCAAGTGGGACTCGCGGCATGGGGAGAGACAGGCTAGAGCTGCTGAGTATGAACACTGCGAACAGGACACAGGGCTGGGAGTCAGCCTGCAGGAGACGGGCAGTCTTTGAACGGTGTCCACGAGGGGACAGGGTAATCAGGTGCTTTTGGCTAGCTTGCTCTTAAGACAGTGTGGGGGGCAGGGAAGGGAGACAGGGACACCAGCTATGACTTGCCAGTGAGAGAGGATGAGGGATTAAGCCACACTGGAGCCATCGGGATGCATAAGAAAGCAGAGAAAAATCTTTTTTTTATAACCACACAAATCAGTACTCTCATTATTGTTTTTGCAAAAGGCCAACATGGCTACTGATGATAGAGTTACAGAGTGGAAGTAGGCTGACATGTGCCATCTGGAATTCTTCCTGCAGTACTATGGGAAGCATCCATTTTCTGCTTGAATGCTTATGGGAACGGGAAGCTCACTACCCATGGAAGTTGCCATGTTGAGTTCTGAATGATAACCTTTGATCGCTCCAAGCAGCAGCCTCCTATTGGGAAATTAAACACTATGTGGCACTCAGTGTCAACTCTAGACCTCCCTTTGGGTTTGGGTGCTTTGAATTCCAAGGTAGATGAATTCCTATTGGGTGCAAAACTTTCCTAAGAAAAGTTGGCATAAGAATGTGAGTGGGGGCCCTCCCTGGTGGCACAACTGGTTAAAGCACAGAACTACAAAGCTGGCCACAGCACAAGTTCAGCACAAGTTTAATCCCTGGACAGGGAAGTGACCTACATGGTGCAGTAGACCTCTCCTATCTTGCCTGCTGCTCCCCTCAGCAGTGTATTTCAGTCAATCTGGCTGTTTTGCTCTCCACTCTGTCTCTTGTGAAGCTTTTCACCATCCCTGCACCTCTGGCCTGCACCCCAGTTCTGTATGCATAAATAAATAATCGTTTTAAAAAAGAAGGTGAGTGGTCGGTGGGCCAGCATTCTGACCCAAGGCTCTGAAGACAAGCTGGTTTCTCCCTAGATTTCAGAAGAGTGACTCCTTTCTCTGTCACCCATGTAGGGATGGAGTGGGCATAGTATGCCTGACCAAATCACTTGTAAAGTAGTTTCTCTAATTAAAGCTATCACCCATAGAGGAGGAGACTGAGAAGTTCAGAATCAAAAATGGGAGCATAAAAACATCTTGCCCACATAAAAAATAAACCTATATTTTTATGATTTGGACATATGCGAACACATATTAGTAAAAACTAAACATATATAAAAATAATTTCCAGATTGTTCTGTAGTCACTCACAGTGACATTGGAAGGGAAGCCATTTTTTTGATTGATTCTCGGTTTGTGTGAAACGGCTCCTTCTGAGAAAGGCCCCGAGTGACCGTTCTGAGCATCTTGTGAAACTGAAGTTTGGAAATGTAAATTAGTTATCAGCAAAAGCTACCTTAATTGATTACCCTAGATGGTCGCTACAGGGCTCTACTATGAGGAAGGGAAAATGCTTGGTGGTCGGCTTCCTAGAATTTTGTAACAGCAATTGCTCCTGATGGAAGGAGGGAGCCATCACTAGGGAAAAAGGGAAATTGGTTTCAGAGGAACATTATCCTTCTTATGTCACAAATTAAGAAAGTGTTTGCGAGATCAAGGCATCAGAGAGAGGCTGGGCACTTGCTAGGAACTATGCTTCCCAGTAAAAGCTAATGTAACTCAAAGGCATATTCTGCAGCTCCTACAGCGGTAGCTGTAAATCAGCCCGTGCTGCTGTCGACTGCAGACAGGTTTCTCCCTGGTGAGGAGCCTCCCTCTCCCCCGTCCCCACATGAGATCGCAGTAACTTCTTCAGGGAAAAGAAATGAAGATTTCATGGCATCTGTTCGGTGAACTGTGCGTGCGCACATATATCTAACAGAAAGAGCTTTTATCACGAGCCCTTTCTGTCCCTACTGTAAGCCAAGCACTCCGCGGCTCCCATGTTTATTACAGTCGTGGAGGAAAACATTAATTTTAACAAAATGATCAAATGTGCATTGCAGGACATTTATCTCCATAATCCAAACATAAAGTGGAATGACATTATTGGACTCGACGCGGCCAAGCAGTTAGTCAAAGAAGCTGTTGTGTATCCTATAAGGGTAAGGACGGGCACCTCTTGGGGGGCCTTTCTGTTCACTGTCCTATGGACGCATTGCCTGCCATGTGTCCATCACAGTGACAAGGACAGATGGTTTTCTGTCTACAGGTTAATTGTCACCTCGGTCACAGTAGTTGGTTGGAACAGGAAACTCAAGTGCGGTTATAATCCTACTCAGTTCCTTTCCCTGGTTCTCTACCAAGCCACTCCCTCTTCCCGCTTTTGCCCCACCTTGCTTGAATCTGAACTGAGGGGTGAAACTCCCTGGTGTCCAGGCCTGGCCTGTGTGGATTCAGGGTCTTGCAATGCATCTTGCACTGAATGACCCCAGCTTCTAAAATGGGCGTCACCCTACAGGTTTGGGCTTGAATCTCACATACTTTTATTTATTAGTTGTAGTATTTACCTTAAAAGTCACACTTGCTTTACAACATTCAAAACATCACTATTACTCTGAATACAGAGTTGTGCATGAAATGATGTTACATGTGCAAGAAAGCATGCTGTGACAGACAGAAAAAGTCACCTTTTTTTTCTTTAAAAAACTGCTTACCGCAAGAGCCGATGGTGGGGCACTACGGGGTGCCTTGGTGGTGGGTGTGCTAAGGTGCTGACCCCTGAAGAGGGTGAACCTAGACTTAGAGAACACTAACATTGTTAGTAGCCCAAGTCTACTTCAATAAACAATTAAAATAAATACTTTTAAAAGGGCTTTAAAAAAAAAAGCCACAATTAAGCCATGTATTGCCATCAAGCCTGAAAATAAACTTGGGGTACGTAAGATCTATGCAGAAGCCATGAACTTACAGAAGGAAGACCTGACCCTTAGACTGGGGCTATTCCCCTTAGCTTGGCTGCCTGGCATGAGCTAAGGGCCCGCGGGCTGACGTGCCAAACCTCACCCTTGTTCCTTGTTCCTGTAGTACCCACAGTTATTCACAGGAATTCTTTCCCCCTGGAAAGGACTGCTGCTGTACGGCCCTCCAGGTAAGCACGGGGCTGGGTTTGGGGCTGGCATGAGGCGTGTATGCAGGGGATGAGTCACCCCATCTGGCCTTGCTCTGGGATGGGGGCACTTGAGCTGAGTGATCACCTCCGTGTGGCTTGAGAGACTGGCTTCTGTCTGTGAGCAGAGGGATGGGGACAAACACCTCTCATCTTTCATCCACATGTGTCTCCAGGTACAGGAAAGACTTTGCTGGCCAAAGCTGTGGCCACGGAGTGCAAAACCACCTTCTTTAACATTTCCGCATCCACCATTGTCAGCAAATGGAGAGGGGATTCAGAAAAACTTGTTCGGGTAGGAATTCTGGATTTTGGTTTTTTAAAAATGAGTTTTGGCAGATGACAGTGATGAAAATGATACCAGAGTTAATTTGTTCTCTTAAACTTCTGCGTTAAGATTTTATTTTGGAGCTTGATTTTTGGGGCGCCCAGGAGATGGAGTGACTGTTACACATGGAGATTAGTCTCACCCCCTCAGCCAAAACACCACTCTCCCCATTTGGGAATTTGATCCACACTCCTTTTTTGATTCCTGCAACTTAGGAATGGGGGCTGCAGAAAACTCAGCGCTGCAGAGGCTGGTTTCTTCCTTCCTCCAGAAGCATTTATTAGTGAGTGTGTGCAATATTATTCAGTCAGCATTCATTGAGTGGCTACAACTACTACCCTATGCTACATGTACTCTATGGAGAATCCAGAAACTTAAGTATTCTTTCAGATGCTCTGAGCAACTTTTCTTCCATGGTGCTTGCAGGCTGTAAGGGTTTTTTTTTCTTTCCTGAAGAGATTATTTCCATCTTTACACTATCTCTCGTTTGTAGTCTAGTATATTTTAATATTATAAATCTTTACTGTATCTCCTATTCACCTTATATAAACACCTATTTGTGATTTATGCCTCAGTATAAGATGAGTCCTTCTCAGAATTCCTGTTAAACTATTGCACGTTGCAGAATGGCTAATCAGTCATCAATACTAAGTGACTATGAATGTCATACATTTTCTGAAATTACCCAAAAATAGTATGCTGAATGACACTCCCTTGAGGACTTCTTTTAAAAATGATATGACTTATTTGGAAGTCATAATACAATATTCTTAAAGGATTGATTTACCTAAAATAACCTATCATTATTAGTTTGGTATTGTTCTCAAGTTATTTCAAATGTTTCCATTTCTCTAAATTCTTATCACCCCTTCAAGATTATAATTTGTAGAAACGCCTGTCTACGTCTTCTCTTTCTTTGTTATCTTGTGACTAACTCAGTCCCAGGTCCAAAGCTGGGGTTTGGATTTAGCTGCTCCTCCATTTTGTGGTTCTATGTAATTCTAGTTAGCTGGGCTTTGTTAGCTAGAATTCATTAAACCAAAATCTTTATCAGGCTGAGGAGTTTTTCCTGCTTAAGTCCCTTTTCTGTATTAACAGCAAAACAGTTACAAGCCATCTCCAGAATCTGTTTAAATTTGATTTCCTGTCATGAAAACTGCCCAAACACTACAAAGTGTTCAAAGAAAGGTCACATTTTGTCCCTCCCCTAATGGCTTACAGAGACAGAAGAGTAAATTCAGATATTTTATGAATGTTCTCAACAAAGACTGAAGCTAAAGGAATTTTCTTGCTTAATACTGAAAAACAAAGCCATTTAACAAGCACTTTCCATTCTGTGAGAGCATTTTATTTAACTAAAGTTTCTCTCTGCTTAGTTATGACCTTGTTAGAATTCTAAGAGTGAGGAAATGGGTACTTTCCCATGTTCCCCTGCTGCTACCATACACTAAAAAAGTGATGAGTCCTTTAGAAAGCAAAAAGCCCACAAGGCTGTAAAGGCGCCTGGGCTCTCTCTGCTGCTTCCCTACACAACATGTACCTGCATCCACATCAATGCCTGTCTCGGTATCTCCCTTCCTTTTATCTTTTTTTTTTTAAATATTTATTTATTTGTGCATACAGAACTGGGGTACAGGCCAGAGGCTCAGGGGCGGTGAGAGGGTTGCCAGAGGCAGAGTGGGGAGCAGAACAGGCATATCAACGAAGTAAACTGCTGAGGGAAGCAGCAGGCAGGTTAGGAGAGGTCTGCTGTGCCCTGTGGGTCAGCTCCCTGGCCAGGGAGCCAACTCTGCTGCAGTGACTGGTGATAGCTTCATAGTGCAGAGACTTTAACCCACCTGCACCACCAGGGAGGCCCCTCTCTCCCTTCCTTTTAATACAAGTAGGATCATACTGCACATCCTCTCTGTACTTGCATTCTCACCCCCCACCCCCATCCTTTAAAGCCACACCTTGGCTGCTGTCCCATAGTATCACTGTTTTATTTTCTGTTGCATGGTATTTCACTGCAAAACAGACTCAACCAGTCTTTTCTGGATAGACATTTAGTCTCTTGCTATTATGAGCAAGGCTTCAGTGAATAGTCTTAATATAATCATGTCTTTGTATATCTAGTGCAGTTTCTTTGAAAAGGAGTATTGTTGGGTCTGAGGAAAGAAAATTGCCAAATTGTCTGCCAATATGGAAGCACCAGCTTACACTCCCATCAGTGGTGCCTGAGTGTGTTTGCTTCCCCACACCCTGGCCAACTCTGTGTGGTATCCACCTTTGAAAAATCTCTGCCAATCTGATAGTGAAAGTGCTATTTTCACACTCAAATGTGCACGTCTTTAATTCTGAATGAACTTGAGTATCTTTTCATCCGTTTAGAAAATCATTTGTATTTTTCTTCCTGTGAATTGCGTTTTTATTTTTGGTTGTTAAAAAAGAATCATTCAAGAGGAAGACCTAACTGCTGCTCACCTTGAAGGGTCTCGGCTCCTATCCTTTCAGAAATCACTTTGTTTCCTCAGCTCATGGAAAGATCATCACCTGGAAAATCTTGGTCATGCTGTCAAGCTGCTTCCTGTGAAGCTTTCAGCTGGAGAGAGCCCTTCAGGTCCTCCCCTAAATCAGAGAAGCTTTCCTATCACTTATTTCTCTTCTATTCCAATTAAAGAGTTATTTATAGGGAACCCTTGGGTTGTGTTCCTCCCTCCCTTCCTAATGTTCATGCCTCTTAGGAGTTGATGCGATTGAATAGTTGAGTGGTTTCTTTAGCAAATGCACACACCTGTTGGCCCTTACATCTTTCTACAACCTCCCAGCCCTATTGTATGACTTAACTTCCTCCAAGTACTTTTGAAGATTTTAGACTAATGTTTCTCAAGCACTTACCTGGGACTCTCTATATTCTCTGGCAGTGGACAGAGTGGTGGCTCTCAGTGTGGAGATGTGGTTCCAGAGGTGGTTCTGGAAGGGTCTTCTTTCAGCTGGATCTTTTGTCTGGTAGAGCTTCTTGGTCTTTCTGTACCTCAAGGAGCTCCTGAAAGATGCAATTGGTTCTCCTCGAGTTCCAATATCCACTTTTCCCTGGATAGATTGTCGCTGCTGTCATCATCCTTAACTTCAGGTATATTTGCACCTGCTTTTTTGTGACAGGGAAAGAAAGAGACTGGCTTCTAAGGAAGTGGCCTCTACTGTGTCTGATAGGTGTTTGGGATGTGTGTGCCAGCGTCGGCTCAGCTCTTTCAGTTCATTATGTTGAGCCAGTTGTCTTGGCTGGATGAACTAGTGAGATTCAGTAAAAAGAAAATACTTGAACTTGCACATAGCGGACCACACATGCAGGCAGTGGCAGGGAAACTGGAGGGATTTCCCTGTTACCACTTGTGAAAACCACATCCGCCCTTTCTGAGCCTGGCCCTTCTTATTTGTTCTGCAGGGCTTTGCCAGTGTGAATGACACAGAGAATAAATCCCCTGTCCTTTTTAAAGGACCTCATTTTTTTTTTTCCTTTTAACTCTCCACTGCTTTCTCCAATCAACCAGTGAAGAATTGTATATGGCGCTCAAGAGATCGGTTTGAGAGTAAAAAAAAATAGGTTTCGCTTTTTCCTACTTTTCTCACCACTACATCTATCTCCCCATGGAGCTCTTTATTTTGTTTTTACAGAGCTGCTTTTTTGCTGTTTTGCTGTCCTGTTCTTGTTAGGGCTATAATCTTTTATTCTGAAATGGAACATTTTATTCCATTGGGAATTACCTTTGAGCACCTGAGCTAAATAGCAGTGTTGGGGTGGTGCAGGGAACCTCACGGAGTCATTTGGGGAACACAGATGGGCAAAATCCTCCCGACTTGTTTCCCATGACTGGGACCCTCCCCTCTCTCTTTGTTTTCATTCTGAGATGAATCATCTCATTATTGCTAAAGGCTAAAGAAAAACATCAAGAGACTGTTCACAGTCTGAGGCTTTTGTGTTCTTGTGAGCTATGTTACTGGTGAGGGTCCCACTGGAAGCTTGGGGACTGGGTTTTATCTTAAGACTCCCCCCCCCCATTGGACCTCGAGTTCACCACTCACTCTTCCTTGGCTCTAATGTTCCCCGGTGATAAATGAAAATAATTGGACAACCCCATGGGGTGATGCTAGGGAGAAATAGTTGTAATGATTATAAAGTTATTGTGAAATAACAGTGCAGTATAAATGCTTAATAGTAGTCACTCCAAGCTTTTAATCTCTGGGATCATCTGAGAACTTTTTAACTTAATTACCTGAATTTGAATATGTGGTTGCTTTACTCCTACCCAGGTGCTATTTGAACTTGCCCGCTATCATGCCCCCTCCACCATCTTCCTGGACGAGCTGGAGTCGGTGATGAGTCAGAGAGGCACGTCTCCTGGGTAACAGACAGGGTTTTTTTTGGTCGTCACTTCTCCCCTCTGTAAGTGTGTTTGATGGTCGGAAGCCCATCGACATTTACCAGCAGAATGAGCCTATTAATAAGCCCACAAATTTTCTGCAGACACACGGAAAGGTCTTTAAATTAGATCCTGTTAACTGAATAGCTGATTTAAGTAGTTTTTATAACCGGAGGAAATATCATCCTCCCCTTCCCCCCTTTCCCACAGAGTGGTTTTCAGGCCTGAAGATGGCGAAGGCCTCGGACCCTAGGCTGCCTTTTTGGCCCTGTTAGCTCCCAATAGCCTCTGTGGCTGCCTCGTCTGGAGCCAGAGGGGCTGCTGGGGGGAGTGGAGCCGCCAAGGCCACTCCCTGGCACGGTGCGTGAGGCCATGGGAGACACCACTTCTCCGTGGTACTCAGTTGTGGCTCAGTGGTCCAATTTTAAATATGTCACACGCGTTATCTCAAAAGACTGGGTGTCTGCTAATGACCCTAACAGAAGGAACATGTCTCAGGTGGTATAGCCCCTTTGAATGTGTGTGTGTGTGTGCTGTAAAAACACTTCTTCGACTTCACCCCTGGTGTTTTTTTTTTAACTTTTACTGCACTTGGTATCCTGGCTTGACAAACACAGGCTGGGAAATGTCACTATGGCTGCTTTTATTAATGATCTCTAATGGGCTATCATCAAGGCAGAACTAATAGTAATAAAAAGTAAACAATTAGCTTGTTGTAAGTATAACTAGAATATAATTTATGAATTTTTATTCATTGAAAACCATTTTCCCAGCAGGGAAAAGCAACCATTAAGATGTGCCCATGATGCATGGGATTCATGCCATTGATTGAAAGGGGATGTTTTCCGTAACTTAATGGGTGCTAGAAAGCCCCGGGCTGGGGAGTTCTGCCACTCCACATGGGGTCAGACAGGAGCAGGCAGCAGCACCAGCACCCCACCAGGAACCCTAGTGCTTAGTCCCCCTGCAAAGACCCCATCTTGCCATGGTGACCTGTGTGCTCCTTTCTGCATCCGCTTCCCCCAGGCTTTGCCACAGCTTTGAATTCATTAGGAAGCTCCTCATCTACTCTCAGTGAGTATGCTCCAGGTTTTACCCTGAATGTGCATAAGCATTAAAGCTAGTCTTCATAGGGCCAGGGAATAAAGGCAAGTGCTCTTAAGACTTCTTGGGTCCTATTATATTAAAAAGAATAATTACAGACAAATGCTAAATAATTCTATAATAACACTGCAAGGCTTTTTTCTCTCTTACAAAAAGTGGTCAGATAATAAGGAGCATAGTTCTGAAAAACCACATACCTACTTGGGGTTGCCATGTCATGTTATCCAAGAAAGGTACTTTTTTTGGGTTCCTTTTCCTCATTCTACACCAGTGAAGAGGAAGGAGTGGCTGAATTGTTTGCTGCTCTGTGGAAGCAAAGTCTTTGCCTCTGGGAGAATCTCACATCCTCCTCTCTCTCTAGGGGGGAGCATGAAGGGAGCCTTCGGATGAAGACAGAGTTACTGGTGCAGATGGATGGGCTGGCTCGTTCAGAAGACCTGGTGTTTGTTTTAGCAGCCTCCAACCTGCCATGGTGAGAGCTCTAAAGGGAACATTCTGCACACATTTTCATGAGTCACTGAGCACAGATGAAGATATTATATTGACCACTTCAGGCTTGCCTTCTTATTTGGTTTCTGGCCTGCAAGATCCGTTTGAAGTCTTTCTTGTTCAAGTCTTCAATCTTTGCTTGCTCTCTACACAGTGAAAGAATTTGACTTAATAGAAGGAACATAGGCAAGGGTTACCATTCATTCATTCATTCATCTATCTATCTATCTATCTATCTATCTAGTAGATGGCTTTATCTTCTCAATATAAAATTTTTAGTTGTTTTTTTTTAATTGAGGTAGTATTGGTTTACGACATTATATGATTTAGAGGAATAGGACTCTACCCTTTAGAGGTATGTCATCTCCACCCACCACCAAAACACCCAGAGTTCTTTACTCTAGATCATCGGACCCCTCCCTTTTTGTCTCCACCCCATCCTCACCACTAACATAATTTCCAGCGAAATTTAAAAAAAATTAAAGTCAAGTTATTGATGATGTTTAAGTAAGAGTATAGTGTAGAACTATGCCATGCCAATATCTTGAGGACTCAAAGAATATTCTAGAAATAACATGAATTTTAACAAAATTAAAATTAAGCTTTTCTAAGTTAAGAGGTATATCTTTTTTTTAAGTTTCACAGTAAACAGAAAGCTAAGTAATCTCTAATTGAAAATAGTTTTTCATTTAAACTATATTTTAAATGAAGTTTTTTATTTAAACTATATTCCAGAATGGTTTAAAAACAATTCTAGAAGTTGAATTGGGAAATAAAATACATTGACTAGAGGAAAAAAATTATCTACCTGGAGAGTATATTTAAAATTTTTGCTGAATGTCCTTTTTGGGGCAAAATTAGCCCTACTTCAGAATCACTGCAGTCAAGAAAGGAAGTGACAAGATACTATATACAGACAAGCTGTCACATGCTCTATGGGTAAAATATAACCTAATTCAGTTTAATTATACAAAGATGTTGTATTACATACATTGTTCTGTATTGTGATTCCCCAACCCCCCTGCCTTCTTAACACATTCTAGAAGTCTTTCTGACTCATAACTTTGTATGCCTTATTTTGTATGTACGATAATCTAACCCACCAGTCACCCATGCTGGGTATTTGGGTTGTCTCTACTCTTGCTATTAAACATAATGCTGCAGCGAATACTAGTGTGCAAATATTTCTTCTTGCATTTCTTCTTGCCAGTGTGTTTGGGGTAGGTGCCTGGAAGTAGATTTGCTGGGTCAAATGTTAATGTGCATGAAATTGTAGAAGAGGTCATTAAATTTCCCTGCATAGAGGTTGAACCATTTTGTATTCCCACCAGTGTCCTGCTTTTGTTACTCAACATTATAGTAAAAAGGGCCTCCCTGGTTGTGCAAGGGTTTAAATCTCAGCACTATGAAGCTATCAGAACAGACACTGTGGCATGAGTTAAATCCCCAGCCAGGGAGCTGACCCATATGGCACAGTAGACCTCTCCTGTCTCACCTGCTACTCCCCTCTGCAGTGTATTTGAATAGTTATGCCTGTTCTGCTCCCTCTCATGTCCACACATCTTTGGCCAACACCCCAGCTCTTGTATGCATAAATAAATAAATCTTAAAAAAAAAAAGGGAACATTATAGTAAGAATATTTCTAACATCACTAATTTATCCTTGAAAAGTGGACTTTACAATGAATGCCCTAAATTCACACCTGCAAAAATATCATAATTTCATCAGCCATTTTCTATTGAACATATAGGATATTGACATGAACTCCTTTGTCTACAAATCATTGAATAAAGTTCTGGACAGATTTTTTTCAAGCAGGATTACTGTAAGTAAAGGGTTTAGATGTTTATTGTCCAAGCCCTTCTATGAGGAAAGAGGATTTTTATCAAGAATATGGGGGCAGACTTCTATCTTGGCTTTGGGGTCTTGAATGAGGAAATGAACTTATCTGATTCAAGCAGCCTGGTCTTCTGGGGGAAATAACCATGCACACCTAATGTGTAAGAGTCTGGCCCCTAAAATTCTCAAAGCAATTCCTGGTGACTTGTTAGTGGTAGTGCCATCTAACATCTTTCAGAACACCAGCTACCCATTCCTGTAATTAATTTATCAGTTTCCCTAGACAAATCTATTGTGTCTCAGAAGGGCAGCCCTTTCCCCCTCAGCCTGTGATTCGGTGTTTTTCCTCTTCCAAGCTCCTTCCCTGGCCTTTAGCATCACATAGAGGACAGGAAGGAAGCAAAAAATAACAGCTCATCTCTGTCACTTGATGTGTAAATGAGCAATGAAAAGAATAACACATGTTGCATCTTTAATATCACCACTTAAGGTAATGGCCATGCAAGAAATGTTTAGCAAGCACAATTAGGGCTAATTTGACCCGCCTTGATTGTTGAGGATTCACAAATTCAGACCTAGGAGTCCGGAGGGAAACAAAACCCTGAATAGGGCCATTAAGGCAAATACCATCTTTAGATGTCTATTTAACGCAATGGTAGTTTGTACAATAAGGTCTGAAAATTGCATGTGTGAAGCATGTTGAAACCCATCACCCCCTTGCTCTTTGCAGAAGACCTGGAAATTTAACTGTCCCTCTTGAAATTCAGGCCCCTGGTATGACCAACCTGTAGGTTAAAAAACAACAACCCTGAAGTCTAGTATTTAGAAGAAAGCATAGGACCCAAGGATTGCTGGGTATGTGCAAAAATTTACCTATTTCAATTGGCTTATTTGCACATGAAGTCTCCCCTCTGTGTGCTATTTCTCTGAAGTGTAAGCATGTGATTGATGAGATCGGCAGGCATAACCTTGGTTTCCCTACAAAATTCCATGTCTCTCCTGTGCTCCTATGCTCCATGCCCTCTGGGCTCCATATACCTCATTCTCCAGATCAACATTCCCCAAAAGTGACCTGACATAAAATCAGGAAGCATTATCCAAAAAATGAGACTTAGTGGCCTCTTAAGGTCAAGAGTGACTGAGTTAAAGACAGTTCAGCTGGCTGCCCCCATGATAGGAATTCTCAGTGTTTTTAGGAAGCTATTGTGACTTCCAAGAGGAGAAACGAGAAAACAGAACTTTCCTCACTTATTTGGTCTCAAGGTCTTTTCCTTGAGAAACAGTGTTCCATTTGAAAAATCCTACGGGAGCAGGTATACAATAACTCACTTCAATCTGATGATTTAACTTTTTGTGGCAATTACATAGGGTCATGCAGGCTTTCCATCTTTTCAATCTTAAATCATTGTCAAAAATTGTAAGCAATCATTTATGGCATTTTTGTACTTACCAGTGGTCAAATGGTTTTGCTTGAGATTGCTTCTCTCCATGCAAAACTTCACTGTCCTGTGCAATTACAGTTCCACGATCCTCCACATGTGGTGCTGGGTGATTCTGATACAACCAGAAAGGAGTGGCGTAGGATTTGGTAGGTGCAACGGGGCAGCCACAGGACTGACCGAGCAGGTCACCTATCCTTGCCCAGCCCCCGCCTACTCAGTAGGTCTGTTTCTGCGAGACATAAATCACTTTCAACCTGGCCTACCTTGGCATTACTTTTCATTCTCAACAGGATCAGGCTGACGTGTGAACTATAAGTTTAAAACCAAATTTTAAAAATTAAAAAATGTAACCACCATACTACATACTACAGAAAATTTGAAAACTAGAAAACAAAGTACTCATATCATCCCATTATGCAAATCTTATCACCTTTGTACAGATCCACCTAATGAAATTTGTTACCTGTGCATCCTTCCAAGAATTGCTCAGGAGGGAAATCATTTTACTATTTACTATTGTCAATTTAGAAAATTAATACAAGTTCATTATAAAAAGTCAGGTTTTACATGCTGCAGTATTGCTTGAATGTCATTAGTTCCCGGCACTCTGAAAATGGTATCGATCTTCCCAGACTCTTTCAAGCATGTGTTTACGTGAGCGTGCATGTACGCACTCAGACACACACAGAAACAAACGTGCCTTCCTATGGGTGTGCATTATATTCTCCTAGGGCCAGTCTCTCCCCCACACCCCCCTCCCCTGAGTATATTGTGGACAGCTTTGAAAACTCACCTAATTCCCTGTAGACCCCCTGGATAAGTGGGCTATGGTTTACTTGACTTTTTTTTTCTTGGGGTTTTAATGGTATCCGCTTTCCACCATGGCTTCCTTCCACTGGGGCTTCGCTCCCAGCCTCGCCCCATGGACATCCCAAGTGAGGGACAGTTTTCCTTTGGTGTTTGCTGGAGTAAGGCTGGTTATCTCAACATGGTTTACGGCTCTTCTGGACCCCAGTGTCGCAGGGAGAGCGGTTCGTAGAGCTGTTGTCTGTGCAGATTCGCAGCCTCGGTGTAACAGCCCAACCGGAAACCCAGGAACTCACTGCCATGTCATTTCTCAAGCCCTGAGGTCTCCAGCTGGTCCCCCTCCTTCTTTCCACCTTTCAGAGTCTGCTTGTAACTGTTTATTGTATCTCACCAACAGTATTTGTTCGCAGAGGGGAGATGCGAGGAATGGGCAGCTCCATCTTGGCCAGAAGTGGAAGTCCCTTGCTCGTAGTTCCTACCCCTTGTCCCTTCATGCCTCACACACACGGTTCTTTTCTGCTCTCTGTTGGTGAATTCTCACTCTGCGGTTTGTTTTTACTGCTGTCATTCTTGGTGGCTTATTATGTTTCTTAATTTTAGTTGGTGAACTTACATTTTTTTTTAAAGATTTATTTATGCATACAGAACTGGGGTACAGGCCAGAGGTGCAGGGGTGGTAAGCGGCTTCACCAGAGATAGAGTGGGGAGCAGAACAGGCCAACTGATTAAGTACACTGCTGAGGGGAGCAGCAGACAAGACAGGGAGGTCTGCCGTGCCATGTGGTCATCACCAGGGCAGGGATTGAACTCACGCAGAAGTGGCTTTAGCTTCTTAGTGCTGTGCTTTAACCCGCCGCACCACCAGGGAGGGCCTGCCGCACCACCAGGGTCCACAGTTAACGAAGTGGACTCTGCCTACAGAAATCTTGCACATGTCCCCTCCAGAGAAAGTCTGTGTCGAATAATGTCAAGTTTTGAACTACTTTAAGCTAATTTGTCAGCTTAGTGTTCCTTGGAACATGCCAATGAGAGGTGTGTGCAAAACACATTTCCTTAGTTGCTTCCGTGATAACGGGGACTTTCAAACCTCTCGTCTGTGGAGGATGTGCCCTCTGGTTTCAGGCTTTGTGTGATGGGCCTGTGCCACCTCCAATCTTGAAGGGAATCCTGGCTTTCAGTGTTACCCCACTCATACACTTAAATCCAAACCATTTATAAACAAGAGGAAACACCCCCAAAAGGACCACAGCTTCATCTTCAACAGCCCAGTGTTGGTCAGCTCCCTCTTCATTTTTGAGGAGTTTTGGTGTCGTGTTCTATGGTCTCATGTGCCCGTGATCCATCGAGTTTTTAAAGGGGCCTTTTGAAGAGAGATTTCTAGATATCTAGTTCACCATTTTGCTGGAAACACCCCCTCCTCATCCTCCCCTCAATTATTGGTAATATGTTTTCCGGCAAGAGTAAAGGAATATACCCATTTTGTTGGTATTAGAGTGCTTAGAAGTAATGTTTAGCCTTTATTATAATGAAAAGATGCTCACTAACTGAAATCCATAGGCTATAAACCGAACTGATTGCTCCAGACTCTTCTGTTGGATCCACTTGTCTCATGTTTGTAATTTCAAACATGAGCCAAAAAGTGATCAGCCAAAAAGTGAAAGTCAGATTTCAGATATCATCTGCAGACTATAAACACCCACAAACAAGTACACCCAAACACAGAAGAAATAAAAACTTAAGCTCAGCAAAAAAGAAGATAATGTTTGCCAGAGGAAATGGGAAAAGTGTAGAGAGATCAAGAAAGGTAGGGAGATGGGATATGGGCACAGGTGGTTAGGGGAAGCAATAAAAAAAAAAGAAAAAAGAAAAAAATCAGGGAAAATTTAAAAATAGATAATTTAATCTGGGTTTAAAAATTAAAGAATGAGAGGTAGACTCTCCATACATAAGATACCCAACATGGAGATTACATCCTTCAGCTCTCTCAGAAGCCCTGCTTCTGAGAATCAATTGGATGAATCATCTCCTAAAATCACTGTTTCTATTATTTCCACTACCGAGAAAAACAGAAGGTTTGATTCCCATTGATGTTGATTCTCTCTATAGCTAGAACTAATTATGATTATAAAATACTAATTTCCAGGGAAATAGATTTATCTTCATAAATCGATACAGGACTTGAAGGAAGCAGGTTGTTTTACATGAAGCCAGTAAGCCTGCAGCACTAGTTCGTTCATTCACCCAGGCAGTACTTACTGAGCAGTTGCTGGGAGCATCACGGAGGGCTGGGGACCCAAGGCATCTGGCCATGATCCTTGACTGCTGGCAGAGGTGAGCTGTGGAACAATGAGTGAGCTGTGAAGGGGATTAAGTGTGAGGCAAAGCTGAACCAACAGGCGGGTCCAGGTAACAAGGAGAGTGAAACTGTACAGAGAGGAGGAGATAACAGATATTGGTAACAGATATTTAAAAGTGGGGGAAAGTCTTTTTGGAATAATTGGGCTTGAAAAATGACTTGGTTCTTGGTAGTGAAAATGGAAGTTCTGTGAAGAAGAAATAGCCGCTGTAGAAGCTGCACTAAGGTCACAATCCCAGAGAGTGTCCTGGAAAAGGTAGGTGGGAATCACTTTATGCAGTGCACCTAGGAGGCAGAATGACCTCCCGGGTGCCAAGTCCGCATCCTGTGCCAAAGATCATGCCAGTTCTTCAGACAGCTCTTGGATGGTCGTGGCCGTCCCTTTGCTGGGGATTGTGGATGTGCTGCAAAGACTTGGCTTATGAAACTCAAGGTTGCTTTTCTCTCTCCACACCAGCATGGTTTGGACCTGCTATGTTCCAACTATTGAGTGAATGCACTAGACTTATGTTTGGTTTCCAAACTCTGTAACATTTGGAATGATCTCTGTCCCAGGAACCACACTGTTAGCGGGGGAGACAAGCCACTAGGCTGAGGAAAGCCTGGAAGCTTTGGGGCGGGAGTCCAGGTTCTCAGGTACAGTGGCCTGGGTCCGGGGCCAGGCTCAGTGGTGGGCGAGCCTTGGCTATGTGGCATGTCATGGTGATTGCTTTTGATCTCTGAGGTGGTGGAAGTCCCAAATAACCTAAATGAAGGAGACATCAGAACAGGATACTTAGGTTTAAACATTCAAGGTAAAGGAGCTAACCAGAGTGTTTTCTGGTTACCACAGGTTAAATTTTTTCATATAACTATATTGGCATAAAGAATGATTCCTGGGTACATTCCACTTGTCCTTTGTTTCCTCCCTTGTATGACTCTATTATTATTGATGGCACTAAAAGTGCATTCATCAGGACTGGCTGTCAGAGAGTTGCACGTATTTTGTGCCCACAAGCAGTTTTGAGGTAAATCTCTTGCTTTAGGGCATTAGCTGATCAATACAGATCTCTAGAGTGACTCAAGGGTGCCATTCCTGAGGGTGTTCTGGGGGTCTGGTCTTCATTTTGGAGTCACTCTAGATGGGGTGGGGAGACCAGAAGAGAAGGTGCCCTTAAGGAAACACTGTGCTGTACCCGCCTTTTCAGGCAGGGGCAGCTGGTCCAAAGAAAGGCCCTGGCTCTGCCTCTTCTCCAGCATATTCTCTCCTCCTTTCAGCCTGATCTCAAGTCTTACTTTTACTTTTGAAGTTTTTACAGGACCAACAGCCCCGCACACCATGCCCCAAACTTCTGCTAATGTCCTTAGATAGAGTACAAGTTAGTCTTATTTATTTGTAGATTGGAGGTTGAGCAGTGATAATTCTCTTGACAGGTGGTAAATATTGTTGAACTGAACACTAAAGCTTAAATTTCGTTGTTTTTCCCCTCTACTAAAAGGTGTCCCTCTCCCCTTCCTCTGCTCCACTTCACCTTCTTCTACTAATCCTGCCACAACTCTAACTGGATGCTGGGTTCATTCAGACACGTTCATAGGTATTCCATCAACTCCATCTTCCGGGGGACATCTCTTCCAGAGCCTTCTTAACAGTTCTAAACAGAACTGATTGTCTTGTGTGCCCAGTAGATTTGAAGACCTCCCTCAAAACCCTGGAGAGTTCCTTCACATTCCTTGTCAGACCTCCTGGTTACTTTAAATCTTTGGTTACTTTAAATCTCCCTTTGGTTCTTTGGTTAAAATGCTGAATTGTTATTCAAACATAGTTGTTGCTTAAGAGAGTTTATTTCTGTAACCAGTTCCTGTGTTTCTGATGGATTCTAGGGAGCTGGACTGTGCAATGTTACGTCGCCTAGAGAAGAGGATTCTGGTTGATCTCCCCAGCCAGGAGGCCAGGCAGGCCATGATCCACCACTGGCTGCCCCCTGTGAGCAAGAGCAGAGCTCTGGAGCTCCGCACGGAGCTGGAATACAGTGTATTGGGTCAGGTAAGCGCCATCTCCCACCAAGACGGTAACCACCTTTTTTCTAAGCAGTCTTCTCATGAGCTGTTTGGAGCCTCTTTCTTGAGTGATTTAGAAAAGATCCAAACCACCCCAGTTATGTAATGATCAATAGTCTCTTCTTCATGCAAGGGTGAGCTCTTTGTCACTTGGAAGTACGTGAGCAGAGACAAAGCAATGGAGTGGAAAAGGGGTAGGACTTAAGACTCAGAGAACGTTGGTCCTGCTATTTATTAACTGTGTGGTCTTTTCCTCTGAGCCTCAGCTTGTTCATTTGTAAAATGGGTTACAGACAAACCAGAAGTTTGGGTAATTCAATGAAACCTTCCCCAAACAGAAAAGTGCTAGGTACTTGTCTGGTACCCCCATAGCTACTGCTGTGTTTGTCTGAGTGGACACTTGAACTTGATGTTCTCTGGGATTCCTCAGGCAGGTATGTTCTTGTTTATAAGAGCAAGAGTATCTATCAAACTTGACCATCCTTGGACTTGGACACAAGAGTCCCCTTGGGGTAACTTGGGTGGTAGGTAGGATCCATGACCAGTATCTTACAGGCTTCGCTTGGATCTTATTAGAAAGTATCTGAGGTTATCCAAAGATGTCAGCAGTCTCTCTTTTCCCAAGTGCTATTTATCTGGGAATTTTTTTGCATAGTGTTCTTGGGGGACAGGTGTAGAATCTAAATGGGGCCCTGATACCTGGCCCTGCCTCTAAGACTGTAACTACTACCAGCCTTCTACCTGCTGACCAATAGCTGGGTTTGCGGCTATTTCAGGAGACGGAGGGCTACTCCGGCTCAGACATTAAGCTAGTCTGCAGGGAAGCAGCCATGCGGCCTGTGAGGAAGATCTTCAATGCACTTGAAAATCACCAGCCAGGTATGCTTGGGGTCAGATGAGGTGCTCTGGGAGAGAACTTTGTGTTTCAAATGCAACTTCCACCAGCAGGTGGCGCGTTGCTCCTATTCATGGCGGCTCTCTACACTTGCAGGGTTCCTCCAGTCAAATCCTCCCTAGTACAAATCAGCTCCTTCCTTCTGTGGTGTTCTGCTTTGATCAACTTTGCTCCCAGATGATAAGCTCCTTAACGCTCAGGCTTTTATTTCCCTGGCATGCTATGATCTTGGACTGGATCCATTCGAGGCACTATATAAATATTAAATAATACTTTGATAACAATACATTTAAGTCACATATTTTGTCTGGCCTTCAGGGGCTGAGTTGCACTTTAAAGAATTTTTCCCCCCAGCCCTTTACTCTTATCTTTCACTGCATTAACCATTAAGAATGCTGCATTATGCATTTGTCTTGAAAGAAGGTCTATTAGCATTTCAGGAGCATTGATCACTATGAGGTCGATTGTTAGGCTGTTACTGTTGTGTTTTTATCTAGAGAGCAGCAATTTACCCAAGATCCAGCTGGATACTGTGACCACTGCCGACTTTTTGGATGTGCTAGCTCACACCAAGCCTTCAGCAAAGAATTTGACTCAGAGATACTCAGCCTGGCAAAGAGAGTTCGAGTCTGTTTGAAGTCATACTCACCCTGCCTGGCCTCAAAGATCACCACAGGGGTCTCTTGGATTTACTGGTGGCAGCAGAAGAGGCCCATAGAAAGTTGGGAACATAGAAAGTTGTTCTGGAAGATTGGATTAATTTGGACAACTATATTTTGGAAATCTGAGGTATTTTCATGATAGATGTCAGCAATACATTGATTTAAATTATAGCTATATGTGCTATTAGGCTATACAATGGAGATTTTTGTTTTTACAAACTCTATAAAATTTCTTATGGTTGGTGAATCATTTCTTTGTTTGTGAGCTGGCATATTCACTTTGAAGACAAAGTAAAGAGAGTTGTGTTGGAAAGCATGGATGATGCTGAGTTGGGGAAGGCCAATAGAAGCTAAGCTCGGCAGACCCCCTCCCCTGCAACCAGCTGACAGGTCAATGGTGGCTAAGGATGGAAACAGGAAAGAAAATATAATCTGTTCCTCATTCTGGACACTTTGGAGTCTCAGCACTTCTTCCTAATTATGACCCCAACCAGTCTTGTCACCTACAAACCCTTCCTGGCCTAAGTTCCACTTGGAAATGTCACTGACCTGTTTCCATACGTGAGCAGCTGTTGTCCAGAGCTCAGAGCCATGGGGACCAGCACCAGCAGCTCCCAGACTGACTCTCCAGTCCCAGCCCCTACTAACAGCTTTGACTCTTCACATCTCACCCAAGTGGGCTGCCCTGCTTCTAGTACCACAAGCCTCCTGGGGGCTGACTTCAGGAGGGGGTACTTGAGCTCCTGGAAGTCATCCTGGGTCTTCCTTGCTCTCAGCCTCCTTCCTGTCTCATGCATTTATAAACAGCCAGAAGCATCTCCTTCAGAAACCCACAATCTGAAGCAGCTACTTTCAATTTCTGACAAAATTTGAATTCCAAGTAAGGCCACTGCCTCACCAATTAGAGCTGCTGTGTGGTAAATTACCTTCTTTTTTTCCTGCTTCTTTTCTTCACCTCTACCAGGCAGACTCTTCCAGAGAGGAAAAACTTCCAGGAAATATTTTGGGATAGTAAATATCCCAAAGGGATTTACCCTTTTATACATTCTTTTGGTATTATGTTGGGCAGAATATTCTCAAATGCTTCTTAAAGTCTCATTTCAGGGATCATGGGCAGGAACACTAAAAATAAACCTTATTAATATATATTAAGTGTAAGAGAGACAGAAGATCATATTAGTATTTACTAAACTTAAACCTCTTCTTGAGCCCAAGGTATTGCGCACTGCAGTGTCAGCAATGCCGGAGGGATGTCTAGGTCTGAAACTCACTGACCCCAGACTGCTGTCAACTGCCAGAAGCTGCCTTCTGTACCCTTTTTTGAAGGATGGAGCGGGGTTCCTTTGTCAAGCCATTCGTCATTTCTTGCAGCTGTTAATTCATTGGCTTGTGGCTACCTCTATCCTTTCCCTAAAATCAGTTGGATATAACCTCAACCGTTGTGACTGCTGTGGCTGGGAAGCACGTGCGTGCCGTGGGTATGATCACAGTGAACAGGCAAAGGGGCAGAGACGCTACTGTGGGCAGTATGCTTTGCGACAGTGAATGAGAGCTACTGCCTGTTCTCCACTCAGGTACGTATGGTTGGGTCATTCCTCACGTGTCCTCATGGCCTCCCTGTGCTTACCAAAGTGTGCACGCACTCCTGACGTACACACTTATCATGCACGTGCCCCGTCTCCACACCTTCACACCCATCCTCCACTCCTTTTGAATCTCCAAGTTTATCTTTGCAATACTTCCAACCCCTATCACATCTTTAATCTTCCTCTCTTCTTTCCAAATAATTACTGGCAAGTTGGTCTCCAAATAATTATGCATGTGTTCCCAGGTTATGCTTTTATCTTCATGGCTTTGATCTTCTCAGTTTTGTACATTATCTGCTAATTTCTTGCTTTGCATGAAATGCAATGCAGCTTTTTCATTCCTCTGCCCATCCTGAACACACAGACGTCTTCATTATCCCCAGTTATGTTAGGATTTTCCGTTCACTCAGTAAACTAGTATTTTTATAAGGATTGTGTATTGGTGTGGTGGGGCAATCAGGTGCAGAGATGGCCAACCCCCACTGGGGGCCAGCCCCCATGTGGGCTCTCTGGCAGCCTCACCTCTGTGGTCTCACAGCTCCTCTTCTCGCTGCTGTCCTCCTGTCTCTGAATGACACCGCCTGCCCATATATCCCTGACCAGCCCAGGTGTACACACTTATGCGTGCCTGCACCCATACTCAGGTGTCCACTTCTCATTAATCCACTTAACCTACAATTGGTTACTGCAGAGCTAACTAGCGAATCAGATCATATTTATGATTTTTTTCCTTCCTGGAACTAGTAACTGCTTTGTTTTCCCACTTATTTAACTATCCTTTTTTGGCAACACATTCTCAGATCTGCCAGCTACCCACCAGTATTATTTTCCAAATGGCCAAGCACATCAGACAAACTTCCATCTCCACACCCTTTGGCCCTGATGTTTTAAAAGGGAAGAGAACCAGAGGGCCACCATGAAATAAGCACATCTGTACCTACTCCCTACTTTCAGCCCTGCAGCTCTCACTGGCGCACCACTAAATTAAGAGTAAAGGAATACGGAGGTACAGACCCACCAGGACAGCCCATAAGGGAGCAGTGGAGACATTAGTGGACAAACGGGCACAGTAATGTGGAGGAAAGTGGAGGCAGTGTCGCCGACTACTTGCATTCAGCTTACTACGTTCATGTGCTGTTCCGTTCCCAAGGCATTTGGGGGATGGAATGCTCTTGCCTGTCTGGGGCGCTGCTCTGGCTGCACAAGGTGGGGAGTTTCTGGAGTTCCTTTTCCCCCTTTTCAACCAGCTTTTTCACTAACTCCTTGCTTTTTAACCCTGCCTCACAGGTCACCGCTCTACCTAGGGCACCTTCAAGCCTGAGTCTTTGAGGTTGTCCTACAGGATGATTTCTGGTTGTATTTTTTTGCACTGATTTTAGTTACCAACACTCCGCTCACTTTCCATCATCCAAATTATTGTATCTACTTATCCACAAATCCCTCCACCATTCTCTTCTGGGTCATCTTGGTGGGTTTATACTCCTTTATTCCTTTACTGTTATTCTTTGAGAGAGAAACTAACACAGCTGATTAATCTAGTGTATATAACTGGCTACTTTTTTAAAAGTGGATTAAAAGTCTATCTAGATTTAAAAGAATACAGATCTGCCTGTTGGAGAAAAGTTTAACTTAACCCAAATGAGGGCACCACTTAAATGCCAACAGGGACATGAAATGAAATGACAGGAGTGAAGTTCAACAGGAAAACAAGGTGGAAGTGGAGGCTGAGGTGAACTAGAGGGCCAGAGACTGCACAGAGGATACAGCCGTGGCTTGGCTCCAACTGGTGTGGAGATTTGGACCTAACACAGCCAGAGCTCTGTCTCCTCGGAAAACGAGTAATTGACTTGCACTGAAATCTGACATTGAGGTCACCATCAGAAAGTCTTCCCTGACGGATCAGACTGATTTAAAATAACTCCGACCTCATCTCATTTGCTTTACTCTTCATCACTTACTGGATCTCTGTTGTGTGACCAGTGTAAGGGTTTTGTGGTCTGTTTACCCTCCTCACTGCGGTGAATGGAGATGTGCCTAGAGGCCCTGGATTAGCTTCGCAGGCTAGAAGTTGTGACTATAGTTGCAGAGCATTTAGCTGAACGCACAGACCTCTTTTCTGAAAAAAGGAAGGTAGTCAGTATGGTTTCATTTAGCAGACATGCAACTGGAATTCTGATAAATGATCTCTATACTCTGGCACTTGCTTCCGGTTGCCCCTTAAAGCATTTTACAGCCCCACAGCTCGCAGCTCTGTCGAGGCAACCAGGGCAAGGTGGCAGAGCGCCAGTTTTGAGTCTCTCACTTGCGTCAGTGCTTCCTTTCACATCATACACACTGACTCCTGGGTCTCACTGGCTGATGTGTGCAATCAAGTAATTTACCAACCCCCCATTGTGGGTAAAGCACTAAGGACAGGTGAACGTAGCTCCAACGCCTAACCTTGTAACTTCTAGTTGGGAGATTTGAAGCATATGGAAATTTATCTGACAGCTCAAACAGCTCAGGTGGTAGTTGTAAAAGTCCTGTTAGTGATGTAATGCAGTCAGCAAAAGCCTCGCTATTTGTGTCAAAAGGCGTCTGTGAATTATGGCAAAGGAACCTGAAAAGGCACACAGCTTTATACAAACAACTGCTAATGAAGAAGGAGCTCTGCTGCTGGAGCTGGTGTTTTGGTGAAATATAGATCAGCGCAGTTTAAGAAGTTCTTTATTATAGGCACCCAAGGACTTCAGTTTCATCCTACAAGAACCACTATCGATCCAAAACCAACGGAACACACCAGCAGTTTTGTTTCGCACTTTTCTGTCCAACATGCTGTTGCGCTTTCTATGTGCGACTATGGTGCAGTAACGACGCTACCGTGGCAAAGGGCTTGCTGACGTCCATGCCTGCGGCTGTGTGATGGAGCTGTCACTTAGAGACTGAGGTCACTTAGTTCCTTTTATGACCCTAGGACAGGATTATAGCAAGAGCAAAGTGCACACACTGTCCTCGAGGTCACACCACAAGATAGTCCTTTAAATGTGATGATGGGGAAATAAAGTCCTTTAGATATTTTAGTCATTAAATCTCCCGTGAGTCCCAAAGCAGACTAACTAGCTGAGCTGGGAATGTTTCCAGGAAGTTAGTAAAACAAGATTTTTAGTTACCCTCACGAAGCTTACTGCGGACAAGTCAGTTATCAAGCCCCGGTAATGTTTAAACAAAAAAAATATCAAACTAAGATCTGAATGACCCACAGGGCTGACCTGTGATGGGGGAGAAAAGCTGTTGCCCTTGGTTGGGTCCACTGCACTCAGGTGCTCTTACCTGGTCCTGTCACTCTCATTCCAGACCATCAGTGACATCTGCTTCTTCCCTTTGGCGCTCTCCTGTCTCCACAGTACCAGATCCATTACTTCCAAGTGTTTCATGGGGCTCCCCTAGGGGCAACAAGTCTAAAATGAGACTTGTTTTCCCTTCCTTCCCACAGATACACCTTCTAGCATTAAAGTCCTATAATATTTGCAGCTAGATTTTTCTGGTCCAGGAGCCACCCACGTGGCTGTGTTACAGCGGATGTATAAGAGTTCTGCCTTGTGGGGGGAGAGATGTGTGGAGGCCTCAGCATCATCTAACAAGTGCTACATGGCACAAGGGGGGCACCCCTCCGCCCTGCATCAGGAGGCACCACGGAGGGATTCTGGAGTCTTGTGTGTTCTTCTTGGCTTCTCAAAACCCTTTCCTTATAGGCTTGATCAGAAGGATCCTAGTAGGGCAGGTAGCAACTAGGAAATAAATACTCGAATATCTGGGCCAAGGAATCACTGACCCAGGAATCCAGGTAACAGGCACCCCCACCAGGCACCCCCACCAGGCACTACCTAGCATCTCTACTGAACACTGAGTGCCTCTCTGTGGTTCTGCCCCAGGGAAGTTCAAATGTGTAGGAAGTCTTTCTTTTCTAACTCTCAGGAGGACCTTCCCCACCAAAGTGACTATAGAGGTGAATTTTACCAGCCCTTATCAGATTGTTAAATGCAGACAGTCTGACATACCGCACCACCGGCCTCACAAACACATAGTAGTTATCATCTGCCCAATTCCATGCTACGTATTTAAGGTGTGGGTCGTGCATTTTACCCCTCAAACAAGCCCAGTGGGGGCACTACTGTGACCTCCACTTTACAGATAAAGGAGGCAGGAGAGGCTCGGGGACTCACTCGAGATCACAGGCTAGTTAGGTGCTGGCTGCCCACCAGTCAACGTCTCTGCACCTCCATTCACTCTTCGGGTCTGGGTGACGGTCTTGTCACAACCACCCTTTGTAATGGAGGACGTGTAAGCACTACGTTGGGGTCACTGGCAAAAACAAGAACACAGTGCTCACAAAACGACCAAGAGGAGAAGGAGCTGCCATTTATTTAGTTTTGCTCCCTCCCATCCAAGACCAAGTTGATCTCTAAACAAGCATCAAAACCCGAAGCTCATTAACATCAGTGTGCGCTTCAATAAGGTGAACACTACAATGATGTACAATTACATGCTAATAATTCAATGCCCAAGAGCCCTGTAAAACAATTGCAAAGGCCTAGGATGATCACAGTATGCAAATGCACTAGGAAAATCATTACCTACTTAGTTCCCTTCATTTTGGTGGGTTTACACGAGAAGAATAATCCATGCTACAAGACGAGATTTCATTTTACAGCTGTAGTAACCAAGTACATAAAAGCTTGAATCTGTCCCAATAGCTTCTAAAAGATTTTTCCCAAAGTGTCAGAGGCAAAAATAATGAAATCTTGCAAATGTACAGTTAATAGGACCCCAGTGGACACTAACTTCAAAAATGCATGGTCTATAAGACATTAAAGGCTTGATTTTAGTTTCTGCACTGTTCCTGTTAATAACAATGTCTAATTAAAACATCTGTAAAATACTGATAGTTTTAATTTTACATAAAATTTCCAAAACAACTGTTACACAGTATAATAGGTATCTACAATGAATAGGTTATTAATGGAAATATTATTTTAAATTAAAATCAGGTTCTAAATTTAAATTAGTCATCTCTAGCTAATGAAGAGAAAAAGAAGTCACTCGTGCTGGGAATAACACAGTAGATAATCTAGTTTCAACACCAGTTAAAGCAAATTCACTCAATCACTTGGGCTACAGGACAATTTACTTTGCTGCTTCTGTCTTGGATTCCACTTGGCATTTCTGATGGATTTCACAGTTGAACTCAGTATTAAAACTACAGCCTAATGTACCTTTCAATGCACTGCTTTATAATTTGAAAAACACCATTCACCTGAGTCCCCCCACCTTATTAGTGAGGAGCTAGCAGAGAACATGACTCCCCACAGCAGTCTCTGCCTCCCAGCCCTGCCTGTCCTAATGAATATTTTAAAAGGAATGGCATAAAAATCTCAGTTTTCCCTTTCTTTGGGTCTCATCTTCTTTTAAAAAAATAAAACAAAAGGGATTAGCAAAGCTTAGTGGCTGCAATTCAATACCCTTCTTCCTAATTAATGCAACGGATTCAACCGTGATCAGAGCTGAGTGGTTTGTCTGTCCACGTGGTGCTGAGGTGGTGGGGGATTCATTCCAGGCCACGAGAAGCTGCGTTTCAAGCTGCTTCCGAGTCATGCAGCGGGTCACAGTAGGTGTTGCAGAATGTGTTCCACAGCATGAGTGAAACTCTCACAAGTTAAATAAGGAGGTGGATTAATTTTTTCTTCATCTGCTGCTCGGTATTTCCCTGAAATGAGAGTGAAGCCAGTGAACAAAGGCTACTGCCAGATCGCCACATTAGTCACACCCTGGAGCACCTGGGCCATCCCAGCACCAGCACACAATGACTACAGGACCGGGGCTCCACATCTCCCAAAGCATCTTTTAGTGAGGCATCAGGATGCAATGAGGCAATTCAAAGAAACACCACATTCAGCATTTCCCAGGCCCCCGTTCTTTCACAAGGGACTCTCACTGGTACTGGGTCGCCTGACAGCTAAGGTTTCCTTCTCGCAGTTGATGGAATATTTCCCCCCATCAGCCCTAAAGATGGGAATGGCGATTAAATCAATGCTTTTCAATGGAAGCCCAGACCACGGGGCAGCGGCCTTGTGGGCTCCTAAGGGTGACTGGAAACAGCATGTGCTGCAGCCGTGCAGGGACCCCTGAACCTGGCAAGTGCGAGCACCTGGGGCTGGGAGAAGAGTGATGGATGCGCAGGGCTGGGCAGGGCAGGGCAGGCTGCACAGCAGGGACAGCGGGGCAGGCGCTGCTCAGCTCTCCCTGGGTTTTGGCCCTCAAGACACAACACCCCAACACAGAGTTTTGACAAACACAGTCAGAGGAGGCATGGTCCCAATCACACCCTTAATGGGTCCCAACACCCTCCAGAACAAAGTCAACAGCCGTATTCCTGCCTAGCAGGCCCTCTGCAATGGGCCCAGCAACATTAATCCTGACAGGTGCTGCACCCTAGGCTGCAGTCTGCACCTGGCTCTTCTGGGAACTTTTACCTCTGCCACCCCTCTCCCCTGCCTCTCAGCTGACTACCTTCTCTCTGCTGAAGTCTGACTCCACCCCCCCATTCAGAGTACTCCCCCTTCCTGACTGTCACATTCCCCAATGCATTCTGAGTGCCTGACATAATGACCAGTGTGGCAAGCAGTCCACAACTACCTTGTAAGAAAAGGAGGAAAGGAAGAGGGAAGAAGGGAGGAAGAGGAAAGGGTGGAAAGGGAGCAGGGAAGGAAGCGCAGACACTGCTTCAGCGCAGCTTTGGGGAAGGCTGGTGGCCCTGGGCCACCAATGCTGCCTCTGCACTTGCTCTTTCTCCTTTTCTGTGACTTCTCTATTTATTCTTCATTTTTCAGTATTCCCCACCTAACCCCAGACCCTCCAATTTCCACAACTCCACTCATTTTTTCCAGCTATCCCTTGGGGAGGCTTTGCTCAGCAAACACAAAGCCTGGAAACCCCTCCTGTCCCATATGTTTGCCCTGTGGGGGTGAAGAGGCTTCCTGTCTGCTTTCTGACTGCTCAAGGTGGTGGTGCACAGGGTCACGCAGCAAACTCACTGCTAGCGTTTTTCTCAAGCTTAAATCCCATTAAGTACAAATACAAGGTTTGTACTTGGGAGTCACAGGTTCAGTTAGTGACTGACTATTGCTATACAACCTATTCGGGATCCAGTAGTTTAAGGGCAAGAAGGGAAAAAGTCAATTTTCGTAGCCATGGGGACAGGGGTTTTGGTTTGTCTGGTCCTGCGAGTTGGGCTTTTACAGAGTGTCACCTGACAGACTGTGTTGTGTGTATGTTCGCAGTGCCCAGCACTGTGTCTGGCATACAGCAGGGGCTCAATAACACTGGCTGAGTCAATGAAGCACTGTGGTCCAATGAGTGACTCATGTCCTGCCTACGGCTGTACTGTCCTGGGCAGAAAAAGTGGTGCACGGTAGGAGAACGCAGGAAGGCTGCTGTAATCAATAAAGTGTGACCCATTAAATGTTTCACTACCATTATATGAAACCAAGCAAATGAGCTCACAGAGCCATCAATGGACCACTTGTCAGCCACTGGATGAATATGAGTCCAAAGACAATTCCTGGACAAGACTCCTGACTGACATGCTTACCCCTGTACTATAGTTCCAAGCTCAGCAGGTGTTATCTAGTGCTGTCAGGGACAGGGTGTGAGGGTGTCTTTTCATTGTATCTGGAAGGCTTGTTAAGTTCTCAATGCAACAGCTTTCAGCCCCACACACAGCTCTCATGCCTGTTCTGTTCTTACCTGAAAGGGTTTTATTAATCACTTCTCAAAGGAAAACAGCACAGAATCATAGAGTAGAAAGGTCCAGTCTAACCCCAGCCTTATTAAATGGTCCAAAGAAGTAAGAACCTTGACCAGAGCCTCGCACAGACAGAAAAAGCGGGGAGCAGGACACAGGCCACTTAACCAGTTCACTGGACTTGTACTGGATTGACTAAGTCCTCTCCCAGTTAGTTCCTTGCTTTCCCTTAAATATTTTTCCACACAGAGTATACCTAGTTTTGGTACAGGAAATAGATCCTAAAACAGAGAAAAGATAAGACAACAGATTTGTGTGTTTTTTTAAAATGCCAATACTGATAGCAATATAAAGTATTAGATTACTTAGCTGGCCAGTTCCTAAAGAGACCAACTTTCTCATCTTACAACTGGCACACAAAGGAAAGATATTTTTAGAGAGCACCATAAATCAATGGTCTCTCAGCCCATTCCAGTGTGGTGATATGTATATCTAGAAAAGCATATAACAAGTGATCAGCTGTGTACAGTTACCTCTGCCTAAGCATTGCAATACCTCTGAGCGCGAGTCTTTCTCGTTTGCACAGTATGGGCCTCCCAGGATGGCTCTGTTCCCTGAGAGCTTACACACATTTCATTTTTGGGCTTTGCCATTTTGTTTTGCAAAGACTGTTCTTTAAGCAGCTGTGGTTCTACCATCCTGTTTGAGAGAAAGCTTATTTAGCAGATACATACCAGTTTTTACCAAGATGCCCAACATGCCAATATCCTGAGCCCCACCAACATCATCCCTGCAGTCCTAGGAGCATAAAGAAAGAAATCAGCCCAGTGTATTTGGTTAGCTTGCCAACAAAATCCTACTATTTGATATGATCTGTTAGGCAGAAATGGCCACCTGTAATCATGGTCTTTTTTCTTCTTCTTAGAATGTAAACAAGAGTTAAGTTCAAGGCAGCATATTATTTGGAAAGGGACACATCAACAGAGGTAGAAGGTGTATAGGAGAGTAAAAACTCCAATACCCAAACACAAAGAGCACAGTGACTGTTCTTCATTGTGATGTCTTAAAAGAGATCATGAAAAAATTATTCTATCCTATTGGTAACTTTTAAGGTGAATGATCCAACTACAGACAATGATTCTGAGGACAGGCTTTCTGCTGCCCATCTGATCGACCCATTCAAAGATCTAAAAAGACTGTAACTGTCTTACATTCAAGTCACACTTAGGAGTAACAGATCCACCTGAAAAGGGATTTTCTCTCAAGTGAGGGATGAATAAACTTGGTTGACTGTGAAGATAAATGCAAGGTAACAAAACTGCAAGGATTAGAAGAAACAGCAAGAAAATCAACCCTAAGCAGGATTGATTCAGACTATGCCCAAAGAAAAGTTGTCTCCCTAAAAACTGTTACTATTATTCAACAACAATCTTGGAAATGAGCCACAGAATGTCAAAATCTTCCTTCAAGGTCTACTTAAAACCTTTTCTTTTGCATCTAAACTTGTCCTGTTGAAGCAGGGGAGATGAGAAGCAGGAAGCAGGGAGCTGGGGTAGAGTGGACAATGAAGGGAAAGTGAAGCTACCCCTCTCGGGCAACTGCCTGGATTCCCTCCTAGGAGATGAGTGCAGGTACCTCAGGCCCTTCCTGCCTCCCGTCCTTCCAATACCAGTATTTCCTGAGATAACGAATTCTAAAGTCTCCAGGCAAAGATAATTACTTCTTGAAGGACACATTCGCCTAGGAGAGTCAGCAAAAGGCTTGCTGAAAGAAAAAGTTGTGCCCGAAGAGATGATTTCTCAAAACAGTTCAAGGATGATCGGCTGAGTGTTAGGTGAATGGATATAGAAAAGGAAGATGAATTAGGGAGGAGGACCATGACACTTCCGCACCACTGCAAGTTAAGAAAGTCATGGATCGGTAGTTTGTTTTGGAGAGTCTTGGCTTCTGGCTGTGTCACTAATTAGCTGTGGGGATTTAGGCATGGAGATTACCTCTGTAAGCTGCAGTTTTCAGTGTATAAAATGAGGAGGTTTGGCAATCTCAATAACCCCCTTCCAGCCTAATGCTTACTGAGATGGAGTTATTTAAATTTGAAATATAATTTAAACTTGGAAATATAACCTTGGCTAGCTGTTTTCCACATGGCAGTATGCATCTCAGCTCTTTTCCCATCACAGCACAGAGAAAAATATTTGCCCAGGAAACTGGGGTGAACTGACAAGATGCTCAGGGCCAGAAGTGATCGGCTCAGGTCTCCAACCACCTGGGTTCAGTCTTGCCACTCACATATCAATCGATGTGTTTAGCTATTTGCAGCACAAGGGGAAGTTCTTCTATAAAGCATATGCTAAGAAAGAATCAATAATGGTAGAATTCTTCCAGTATAGGTTGTTCCCTGCATTAGTAATATTCCCCCCAAAATCTATATACTTATGTACAGGTTTTCTTCAAAAAGACATAAAGTATTTAATTGACTTGCATTTAATGGTTTTTAGAATTACGTATATCTCATCACACTATGAAGAATGCTAGACGTAATACAAGTTGCACTTCTTTGGAAGAATGGAAGATGTGTAGGGGTGACTAGCACCTGTAGGAAAGCCTGTCTGAGAGGGAGCCACTTAGTGACCCTGACATGTCATGAAGCAGCGCTTTAAGTTGGCTCCTCCCAGTATGACGGGTGGTGCAGGGTGTCTGGGCTCTCGTACTTACGTCTCCTATCATGATGGCCTCCTCCGGCTCGTAGCCAGTGCCTCGCAACGCTTCTAAAAAGAAGGTTTTTTCCGGCTTCCCCACTACTGTGGCTTTGGTGTCAGTGGCATACTCTAAAGCAGCCACAAAGGGTCCAGGCCCCAGGGCTAAGCCATCTTTTCTCTTGTAATACCTGGCTTTGTGGATTGCTATCAGAGGCGCCCCGTCCAGGAGTAACCTAGAGAGATGGAGAAGATGGAAATTGGCTAAAAGCAAGGCTTTTATGAGTAGAAAAGAATGTCAGGCAAAGTGGTTCTATTCACACTCACAGAAACAAATAGTTTCTTATTAACTTTTAATGACTTGCTGTCTTCTAATGAATTTGCTAAGAACTTTGGGGAATTACACTCAGCTACACTAAAGAAAGGTGATAGATTATTAAATTTGGGATTGTTTCAACCTTTTACCTTTAGTGCTTTCAGACATTTTACCCAAATCACCAGGGAACAAGAATTAAGAGAAGTAAAGCTAAATAAGACACTCAAGGGAAGAAGCTTAACTTAATGAGATAAGTTGTTTCAACCTTCCCTGATGGTAAGCAGGAGGCTCTTGAGCCATTTACAATATGAACCAATTGTTGCTGCAGTGACATAATCAGCTAACTCCTAAAGTACCTGATTTCCTGTTTCCTCTAATTCAAAATGTAAGTTTCCTCCTACTTCAGAAATTAAACAGAGTGCTTTACAAATACTTTTTGCTCCTATCTGTATCTCTCTTCTACCTTCTGACTGCTTCCTATGTTACTAGGCAACTTAGGTCACTTGTCCTTAAGAAGACACCAGCAAGGTTCAAGGGAGTCTTTACCGTCAAGTCCCTTCCTTTGTTCTGATACAGCACAAAAACTCACAACAAACAGCCATTGAGCATGTTTCTACTAGCTGAGCTCTACACTGAGCTAAGGATCTTCATTAGTGACTCAGGCAAATCTACAAAATCCCAATTTCTTAGTGCTTACCTCCCAGCTGCATTCACAAAAAGCTGCCATCCATCCCAGCAATGCAGCCCTAGTCACACAGCAGGGAAAGTCACACGCACATTTCATCTAATGGTACACGGAACTTGGTACATTCCTCAAGCTGCTTTTAACCAACGTAATAAATGATCTCACTAGCTTAATTTACTTTAAGTCATTTACTTAGTTAAAATATTTAGTATGTCCATCGAGGAAGAATTCATCACATCTTACCCTTCACAATTATGAGTAATTAAGCGCTCAACTATGAAACTGCTAAATTATTCTTGTCAGTGGGCATGGAAATGCCTTCCTGTGGGAGATTCGGAATTCAGACATTTATGATTAAATATTTTATTAAGTAAAAACCAACACTGGCCTCTTACAGGGCCTTATTGTTAGTTACTACAAATCGCTCACAGTACAGGAGAGAGCCTTTGAGTTTATTCACTAACTTCATACCAATTTATTTCTTAAAGTGGGTCTTGAAATTCAACTGTTAGGAAACCTGATAAAGGCACTACATTGGCCTTAAAGAACCACAGCTGATAGCAATGAAATAATAAGGGGTGATTTATCTATCTCCCCTCTTGTCACCCTGCCCCCAATCCCATTTATTTGCTACTTTACCACGGAACTGGAATTCTTTATGCAACAGACCTCAAAATTGCTTTCCACTTATATAGCCAAACTAAAAACTCATTTGATTTGGCTTTGTTAATATTTTATTATATATTAACTGTGGATAAGACTTATCAGCTTGATTGATGTGTGTACTTAATTCCCAGGCAGTACTTTAGTGCCTTCCCTGGAAGTGCCAAAACTGTGGGTTCTTCTATATCTCTCTAAATGGGAACTGGGGCTACACTAAGCTGGAAAAGAGAGGTATCTCTCAGGGAAGTGGTTGCTGCTTCTCTGCCCAGCGGGACTTTTATGAAGTCTTTGAAAAGCCAATGCATATTCAGGATGGACTGAAAAGTAAACATATTCTAGTATACAGATGAAAAGATCTTTTACAATGAAACATTTAAGAAACAAGAAACACCTAAGGCTTGGAGTGTTTTTAGACTTATTAGGGAAACAAAACAGTGATCTTTTTTTCCCTTTTTTTTTTTTGTTAGTATGCCAGCAGGAATACTTAAGATTTTCCATCTGCATCTAACTGTGAACCCAGTGCGGTGCAAGAAGCAAGGAGAAAAAGGGACAAAGAACACACAATGCAACAACCTCTGGCATCTAAATCCCTTGTGAGTAAAGGAAAGTGTGAGGTGGCAGGACAACAATATAAAAATCTTAGGCACAGCAGTTAAGAGAAAAGCCCAGGAGATTTAAATTCAGAGCCACAAAGTATTACTAAAAAACACCTTAAGGACCATCAAGCCCAGCATGCCCCACTTTAGAGATGAAGAGATATTGGCCAAAATCCAGAAGGTCACCAGTGAGAGCTAGAACCCACAACTTCTGAGGAACAATCCACTACACTGTTTTTCTTCTAAGTTAGCTTTCTGAGGAAAGTGATAAGCTTTTCACCATTTTCACTGATGGCTGAGCATGTGCAAATGAAATTACACTGAAGCTTAAAAAACTGTCAGGCATTTCCTGTATGTCCAACACTAAACTCCCGCACCCCCCCATACACACACACTCCTTTCCTGCTCAATAAAGTTCATCCAGTTGCTCAGTCCAGAAACCTAGTAACCATCCTTGACTTCTCACTTTCCCCCATTCCCTAATCATTAACAAATCTAGTAATTTCCCACTCCAAACAAAAATGAAAAAAATCTCAAAACTGTCTTAGTCTCCTGAGCTTCTGCAATAGTCTCCCAAGAGGTCTTACTCCTTCTGCTCTTGCCCTTTACCCAACACACAAATTATCTATACAGAAAATTCAATCCAAAAAACTCTACAATCAGTTCTTAAAGTTAGCAAGTGAAATATAAGGTCATTGACAGAGGTTAGCATTAGAAAAAAATCTCAATATATATGCATTAGCAAAAAGCACTTAAAATGAAATTTAACAAAATAACAATTACAACAGCATCAAGCCACATGAATTAAGGCCCATACTTTGAAAGCTCTAAAACTGTTGAGAAAATGTAAAAACCTAAATAAATGGAGATACATCTCATTTTCATAAATTACAGGGTACATTATTGTTAAGATGTAAATTCTATCCAAATTCATAGATTTAATATAATACCAATCAAATTCCCAGGGGTTTTTTTTGGGGGGGGTGGGGGAGGAAATTGACAAGTTGATTACAAAATTTATAGGCAAGACAAAAGATCCAGAATAGCAATCTGGAGAAGACCAAAGTTTAAGGTCTAGATTACCAGACATCAAGCCTAATTACATAGTTACAGTCTTCAAAACTATGGAATAAGGGCCCTCCCTGGTGGCACAACAGGTTAAAGCACAGCACGAGTTCAATCCCTGGCCAGGGAGGTGACCCACACATGGCGCAGCAGACCACTCCTGTCTCGCCGCTGCTCCCCTCAGCAGCGTACTTCGTCAATATGCCTGCTCTGCTCACCACTCTGTCTCTGATGAATTCTGTCACCATCCCTGCACCTCTAGCCTGTACCCCAGTTCTGAATACATAAATCTTTTTCTTAAAAAAAAAAAAATGGAATGGCACAAGTACAGGTAAAGAATTTAGAAACATATATACATACACACATACACACACATATAGTCACTTGATTAAAATCAAAAGCACCACTGCAATTCTATGAGGGATAAATGCAAACACATTGCTGAAACTAGATTATCTTTATGGGGGAAAAATACCCAAACTTTTACCTCACATAATTCATAAAAATTGATTCAAAATAGATCCTAGACCTAATTGCTGGGGGAAAGCAATAAAGCCCTTTGTTTTATGAAAACACAAAAGAGTCTCTTCAAGACCAGGGGTGGGCACAGAAATGATGACAAAGCGAACTACATTAAAATTAAGAACATCATGTTTTCATCCTATCAAGAGAGTGAAAATGCAAACCCCAGACAGGACAAGGTATCTACTGGACTTGTTGATACAGATTTGTGTATATAACATAAACAAGCTCTGACAAATCAGTAAGAAAAACACAATACAATTCAAAAAGGTAAAAGATTTCCATGTGCACAGCGTAAAAGAAGTTATCCAATGGCCAATTAGTACACGAGAAGTTTCAACATTACTTTTCAGAGAAATACTACTGAAACTTGGTAAGATACCACTATATACCCCAAAAAGAAAGGCTGTAATCACACGAATCTGGCAAGAGATGGGTGTGAGTGTGGAGAGGGAATGTGTACTTTGGAAAATGGTTTAGTAATAGTTACTAAAGTGAAACAAGTGCTTATATGCTTCACTTTGAGATACAGATCCCACAGAAATGTCTGCAAGTATACCTCCAGAGACATGTAGAAGAATGTTCATTGCAACTTTATTCAAAACATTCAAAAGTGGAAACAACCCAACTGTCAGTAACCATGGAATAAATAAATTGTGGAATATATACACCACAGACTACTACACAACAAAAAATACATGAAGAAACAAAAACAAAAGCAAAGTACTATTTTAACATGCAACAACTTGAATAAACCTCAAACCAACAAAAATCTACAATTGTATGATTTCATTCAGATAAAGGTCAAAACCTGGCAATAAGGAAAGAAATTAGAGTAGTGGTTACCTTGAGGAATGGGTGGCATTCTGGGACAGGGAACATTTGACAGTGTTGGAAATATTCTATAACTTGATCAGAGTCAGGGTTACACAGTAAAATTTCATTGAGCTGCATACTGACAATGTGTATATTTACCATTCTGTGCAAGTTATATACCAGCTCAAAAAAAAATAAATCATTCACCCAGGCTTCCCTGATGTCGCAGGGGTTAAGTCACAGCATTATTAGGCAATCACCTAGTCACTGTGGCCTGAGTTAGATCCCTGGACCAGACAAGTGAGCCAACCTCTCTGGAACAGCAGACCTCTTCCCTCTCACCCACTGCTCCCCTCAGCAGTGTATTTCAGTAGATCTGCCTGTTCTGCTCCCCACTCTATTCACTGGTGAATTCTCTCACTTCCCGCAGCTCTAGCCTAGACCCCAGTTCTTATATGCATACATAAATAAAAATAAATCTTCTTTTAAAAAAATTACAATGTATTTAGTGGCTTTGAATAATCACCTGAAATTTTGACATTCAACTCAATTTCATGTTCTATGATTCTCAAATTGGCATGTAAAGTTCTCCAGATACTAATAGAATGATTTAAACAACTCAAGTTCTCCAGTCTTTAATATTTTTACTCTCAAGAGTGTTTTATTTTGTTAGTCTAGACTTTAATTTAAAAGACTGGATAGAAGGTAGCTCCTTCAAATGGAGAAATCCCATAGGAAAGTTTCTTATCTAAGGGCTGCTGCCAAACTGTTCTGAATCCCTCAGGCCCAGGGCTCTAACACTGAGAAGAGAGCCAAGAGTCACTGCACTAGTGCTGTGACATCTAAAGCTGTTCTTGTTCATTTCCCCCTTTCCACACCAATGCCCTTTTCTCTTCATACCTTTCTAAGGACTTGACTATATTGGAGTAAATTTGTTTTGGATTCTTTTTTAGGAGATGGGGTAAAAAAGCTATCCAACATTCAACAGAAACCATTTACTGTAGTAACAATTTGTTCTTAGAGAACAAAACTACTCATTTCTGGACATCGCTAAGATCCTTTTGGAAGATTCTTTTTCTCTGTAACAATTACAGGAAAGAAGTCACTAGCAAAACTTAAAACCATTACTGGTAAGCAGCCTTCAACCTCTGTGCTTAAATGTGAAAGTTGTGATGTCACTTGTTTGCAAGTATAATCACACTTCATAATGACATATAGCCCCTCTAAAGGCTGCAGAACTGATGCCTCTAAATTAGAAGGAAAAAAAAAACCTTGAACTTTTCCTAAGTTAAGCAACTCTGTGCAGTCCCCCCCCCCCAAATTCCTTTGATCCAGGAACTATATTTCTGAGAGAAAAAAAAACTCAAAGAACAAACATAAACACTACTTAACAAGTATGTAGTCAGAAGTTTCTTAAGACTACCTTTAGAAACCTGGAAATAACCAACAGGAAATAGGACTACATATTTATTACACATAAAATCAAAATAACATATTTTAGAAGAATACTTAACAGTATGGAAAAACATGAATATATTGTTGGGTTTTTTTTTTTTTAAGATTTATTCATATATACAGAACTGGGGTGCAGACCGGAAGTGCAAGAGGTGAGAGGATTCACCAGAGACAGAATGGGGAGCAGAACAGGCAGATGTGCAGAACAGGCAGATGTACTGAAACACACTGCTGAGGGGAGCAGCAGGCGGGAAAGGGAGGTCTGCTGCACCATGTGGGTCACCTCCCTGGCCAGAGATCAAACTGTTGTTGCAGTGGCTGAGATAACTTCATAGTGCTGCGGCTTAACTGGCTGCACCACCAGGGAGGGCTCTATTGCTGGGTTTTCTAAAACAAGTCACCACACAGTACATATATTATATGTACAGCCTATTTTTTGTCTAAATATCTATGTGCATAGAAATAAATCAACTAGTGAGGTGAAAGAACTGCATAGGTTCTTTTCTGTTTCTTTTAAACATTAAAAATTTTTCACAAAGAAGATTACTTTTGAAATCTGTGTTTAGATATTTTTACTAATATATAATTTGTGTTTAGTTATTATTAGTTTTGTTAGTACTAAAATTTAAGTTAGATTATTAAGTGATATACTTGCCAAGGTAGACTTTCTCCTAACACAGATCATCAAATTGAATTATAATTGGTCTATTACTAAAAAGCTCAAGCTTTGGCTTTCTAACTAGGTCAGAAGATGAAAAAAAGACCTTGCTAAAAGCTAGTACTAATGCTTTGAAAACAATTAAACCAGAGCTATGGACATTCACATTGGTGAATCATACATTACTGAGGAAAAATGCAAACTAATAAATACATAAAGAACATATATATAAAACATGAAAGATAATATACTCTGTAGGATTAACCACATATGTGCTATAAGAATAAAAGTGTAGGAGAATGATAAACAAAATTCCTATCCTGATTACTTTTAGGTCTTGGGTGATAAAACTGATGAATATTAGATGTCTTGATAATCTATTTCTTAAAGTGGTTGACTGGTACATGGGTGTTTATTATATTGTTCTTTATATCCCCTAGTAGTAGGTAATAGGAAGAATGTCACCAATGGCTCTCAGTACTTGAAAAAATTCATAATCCAAACAAATCATGTCTATTCCTTGTAATTAGTTCATATTCTTCTCCCCAATCAATTCTTCAAAATTCAGTGTTCTCAGTTTCATTTAGCCATTTGAGACACATCTGTAGACAGACTGTATGATGCACTTTGTGGGCATATCCATTCAAAACACACTAAATAAGAGGCAGTGTAATGTGGAAGGTTGATGAATCTGCCGGAGGACGATATGCCCCAGAAGCTGGTATGCAAGACAGCTACGTAACAGGATTTAAAATCCAATGTTTATTCTCATTATCAACCTGAATAGTAATTTAACTAATCAGTGGTTCATTTGAGATGTCTATATTTTCCACTTAAAAACAGCTGTAGCCATTGGTTGGAAGGCATAGTCTCTGAGGAGACATCAATATGCAAAAAAGGGCAAGACCTAAAATCCTCCTGTTAACTATCCACCCAGCTGTTAAGTGCATTTGTGAAATTAGAGTTGACCTATAAATGCACTGTAATGCTTTAAAATGTAGTGTTTAAAAAATCAATATGGTTAGGGAAGTGTACTAATTAGACAGCATCCGAGCAATTACAAAGTCAGTATTATGTCAACATACATTTTTATTACCCTAAGTCTGGTATTAATCTAAGAGAGAGACCTCCCAACTTCCTATTAAAAATGTCCTCCCCAAATTACCAGCTAAAATCAATCAATACCTTTTCCTTGAATTCTTGTGGCTAGTGAGGATAAATAAAAGGTAGGAGGGGTCAATTTGAAATAAGACATAACAGGAGGTTCTCTACTTCAAATGAAAACCATTTTTAGTATAGTTGTAAACTATACAAGGAACAGGTGAGATGACCTGTCCCCTACTCTCTCCCTTCCCTAAAGTAGGATAACTGAAGTAGCAAAATAAATGTTAATACCTTACACCCCAAAGTATTCTTCATACAATCTTGCACTGCAGCGGGTACCCAGAGAATAACTAAGCAAACAGATACTGAGCAATGATTGTGTTCCTATTAAGCAAAGACTTGACTGTCACGGTGACTGAGTGGCCACTCCATTTACCAAGGATCCAAAATCAATGCGCATAAATGTGGGTGGAGGTAGGAGAGGGTAGGTGATGTTTCTGGCCACATGGATTGTATTAACACCAAGTTATGTGAATCCTATAGTGAAATTTAAAGTTTCCTATGAACATTCTGATTCTAGAACACACACATCGAGAAAAGAATCCTGCATCTAGAACAAGGCAAACTGAAGCTTGAAAATTTTGTACTGGTAAGAAAACAATGTTTTCATAGCATGCTTATTAGTTAAACGCCAAACATTTATCAAGTTATTAAAAAACCTTAAGCCTACTTTAGTGTATCTATGCCATATTTTGAACTACTTGCCACAAATTCAAAGGCAAATTACATTGTTTAATGGTTTGACAAGAAGTAAAAAGGCCAAGATAAAAAATAAAAAATCTACAGAAGATGAAAAATCCAAAGAAAAAATTCACAAACAATCCAGACCAGATCTGTAGGTAAATTGTGATCCAATTTATCTTAGGAAGTACAAGAATTCACATGCAATCTTACTTTTCAGAGTTGCAGCAAAAAAAAAATATATATATATATATGTATATAAAAGTTAAATATATACACAACCGAATATTAATAACATTTTATTTTATGTTTCTCCAAATATACTACCAGCAGCCATAAGGACATTTCTACTTAACTATCCCACAGGTGAAACAATTCCAACATCCTGACCCCAAACAGAAAGTGTTTATGTCACATAAGGTCAAGCTAGAAATGTGGATGACCTCTTAGCTTACTGTTCTTCTCAGCTCCTAAACCCGAACATCCATCAGGTCATGGGGGAGCTGACTGAACCTGGTTTTCTTCATCCCTATTGTCACTACCCAGGGTCCCATCATTAGATTCACTTACTGAATGATTTCTTTTGAAATCATGGTCAAATGTGTCAGCTTTTCCCTATGCTTTGGATTCCCATTAGAGAAAGACTCACATGCCCTTTTTTGGATGCATTAGCCTAGTATGGAGGCAAACTTTTTCTCAGAGGTTAGCATGGTCAGTGGAGAACCAGTCATAACAATAAGAGAGAAAACTCTGAGCTTTTAGAGTAGCTGTTTTATTATGAATTTCCCTCCAGAATATGAATTCAATAAATCAGAAAAAACCCAACGATGATAATATTTTAACAAATTGCTCATTTAGGGAAAAAAAAGCATTACAGTCATAAATATTATTTGATGCTGATCTTGAAGATGTCGGTCCTCACATACAATCTGGGGAACCAGAGTGAAAAAAAAAAACAGATGCAGGTAGCCCAAACATGACCTGATCAGTGATTGGTTCAAGAAGGGAGAAAAACAGTGAGTCTTAGAGGACATCTGGATTTTTATAACCTTTATGAGAATGATTCAAGAAGGTAAGGAGGCTATATGATCAGATGATGAAAATAAGTACTTACCGGAATGCCTGATTCAGAATTTGATAATGAAAATGTTCTGGTGCCAATCCTATGATCACAGCATTAGGATCATTTGTTTGCAGCCCTGGGAATGATAACCATACAATTATTAAAATGCAATTAAAAAGAATGCCGTATTTCATAATGTAGTTTTAGTCAAGCAAGCACAAATGTTTGCTGTAACCATGATCTGAGATTTAAGAGATTACCCTGCCCAGTGGAAGTAGTGTAAGATAACCCAAGGAAAAGATCTTCAAGTATTTTAGCACACTTCTTTCTCAGAGTCTTATAGCTAGTCAGTAACTAGAGGATTTGAATTGAAACTTGTAACCTGATGTTCTCAAACAAGAAGCAATTTCTAGGTTCAAAAAGCTTTACTGATTACAATCAACAAGAATAGCCATGAGTTATCAGATCAATAGTAACTGATGAGGGAACAGAAACCTAAGAGACAAGGGAAATTAGATGCTTTAATTGACACAGTTAACATATGACAAATATGGAATGCACTGGAGACCCTATAGTTTTCTACATAATGCCTAGTCTACTTTTTATTCCACAAATGTCACAATTGAAGCAGACTTTAATGACCTTTGTAACTGACAACCAACCAAATACACCTACCACCACAGTTACTAATTCTGCCCACAAGTCCTGTGGATTATCTATCAATTCCCATTTGTCTCTTAGCATTTTCATTACCAATTCCACCAAAACTTGAGAACACGAAAAACAGATCAAGACTTCCAATTTACTCCTCACCAGCAGCCATCAATATTGAGTAATAAAATTTGTTAAAGAAAGAAAATAAAATGGTTGGCTATAGTAAAAGTTGGAGTTTTTCAAGTTCCTTTTATTTTCTCCATTGACCACTAGCAAGTATTTAATTATTAGCAAAGATATTTCCATTCTTTTCAAAGATCCATCTATGTTGGATATTTTCATGAAAATTGACAAAGAATACTTTCAATCAGGGTCTCTGCTTATATACCCCAACCAGATCACTGCTAATACAATCTTAACCTTCATCAAATAAAATCAAAAGAAAAAAATCTGATTAAAAATGTTGTTCTGTAGAATTTCAGCTAACTCAGAAACATAAACACAGTAGTTATAGAATGCATTTGGAGTATTTCTGGCTGCCCAGGTTTTGAATACCACTGTGGTCACTGGAGTGGACAGTGGGGGAGGGGGCGAGGAGGGGACAAGGAGGGACATTGACAGGGCACTGGCATTGGAGCCCTTGTGGAAGGTGAGAGAAGCAAGTGCGTATATGGAAGTATGAGGCTATATGAACTGCATCAGCTTGCCTTGTCATTAACTGGCCTTTTCAACAGAAAACTTTAGATAATACATGCTTTTTAAGGGAACAAGACAGTTCATGAAGAGATTTTCAATATGAAATTAATACACATGGCTTTGAGTTAACTGGATTTTTATACTTATCTCTCTTTTCATTAACATTTTAAATTCTGATCCTAACAATCCTAGCATATACTACTTTGTTTTATCCTATTATATATCTACAATACAAAAATAACAGTATTAATGTTACTAATAACACTAACATTACCGAAAGCAGTTTATGCTTTTTTTTGGCATCCATTTGTACTTAGCTTTATTCCACCATGAATGAACAAACAAAATACTGTAATTCTTTTCTCTGAGTGATTATGTCACCAATTTGATGTAGTTAATGTTTTCAGTTTGTTTTCTAAGAACTGTTTATTTTCATTGTCTTTTAAACATTTAAAACATGTATGTTTCCAAAGTCAAAACTTAACAAAGCACATTTAGAGAAATACCCTTTCTGAACTTTCCTCTACTCTCCCATCTTTTAGATAATCATTTATTAGTTTTTCATCTTTCTTTAGCTTCTTTTTACAAATAAAGGAAATAGATGTATATTATCTACTTCCTGCCCATTTTCTTACATGCAAAATGGGTAAGGTTTTCGATACCTTATTTTTTCCTCTTAATATAGCTTAAGTAGATCACATCTTATCAGGAGATAAACTTCTTTATCACTGCTTATTTTCCATCTACAAAGCATTCCAATTTGTGGACATAATAGTTTAATTAGTAATTCAAATATATATTCAGGATACTTCCAACCTTTTGTTATTACAAATAAGGTTGTGATAAACAACTTTGTTTATATGTCACTGTATTTTTTTGTAACCATACATGGAAATGGAATTCCTGCCAATGGCAATACTGCTTCATATGCAATTTTGCAAGCAATTGCCAAATTCCCCTCTAGAGAACTTGTGCCATTTTATATTCCCATCAGCAGTCATATCCTTTTAATAAATTTATTTTCTGTTTAATTCAGTCAAAATTAGCTTATTCCTTACAAATGATTATTCTTATTGGTATATTTCCTTACAGTGTAAAATTTAAGATTCTGCTCATGGATACAGATATATAGCTATGTGGAATTTCTTATCATTTTTTAAGATCATATTTGGTTTATAATGTTGTATTGCCCATTTTTCTACATTGTATTATTTCACTCTGAGTATCATCTACAAAAAGAAGCAACATGGCAAAGCTTCATAAAACTAGGATAATTTTCCAGAGTCTCTTAATTTTTCCAAAGAGAAAACAGCTTTATTTTCTCTTGATTGAAAATAATTCAAAGTCATTCAAAAACTCCACATGATACAGAATAGAACTGCATTTTGAAAAAGGAAACCTTTTATCATTTCATCAAATTAACATGCTGACTCTTAGATTAATTATAATTCTCAAAACCAACAGTCCCCAATTATCTGTAGGGGAAGTTTCAAGACCCTCAGTGGATGCCTGAAATGGTGGACTGTACTAAACCCTATGCATACACAACATTTTTTCCCTGTATATACATACCTATGATAAAGTAGAAAATTAAGCATAGTAAGAAATTAACAATAATTAACACTAAAGTAAAACTATAGCTATGTGATATAATGAAAGCTTTGTGAATATGGTCTCTCTCAACACATTTTATTGTACATAGTATTTTCAGACTGTGGTTGACTGTGGGAAAGCAAAACCAAAGATGAAGGCAGGGGAGAACTACTATAGACTGGACCTATTGTTTTCAAACTACAGGTCATGATTCTTCAGAAGATCAAGAAATTTAATTTGAATGGTTCCAAATAGCATTAAAATCAAAAAAGTAGATCAAATAGACACTACGGTACTTCTCATACAGGAAAATACTGCTTAACATATACCACACAGATAGACATGTACAGGGTTACCATGGAATGTATTTCAGTTATTGTTAGGTGCAGTCAAAAAAAAATCTGAGAAACACCAGTTTAGATTCAAACTGTCTGCTGACTAGTTCATTACAAACAGGAGAAAATATTCTGAGTATATACTTCAAAGCAATCAGTTTTAATAATGGCAAGCAGAACAAATTTCAAAAGCTTCCAAATGTCCTCTACCTTTGAAGTCAGGCAGTGCCCGATCATCAACTAGCAGCATGGGCCGGACTTGTTTCTGCTCTACTAAGTTTCTGGCTGCGGTCAAAGAAGTGAATATTTCATCTTCAGAGATATCAAACTCCAACTTTTTCAACCTTTCCAACAGATCCTGCTTGCTCTCTTTGGTTGTATTGGTAACAAACCTAACCATTAAAGAAGCACCACGTAATCTGAAAAAGTAAAATTCAGATGTTAATAGGTAGCTTTTACGATTCAGCCCCATAAAACCTCCTAGACTGGCAGCTCTTGCAAAAGGTTAGAAAATGAAGGCTCAGTCACTGAATAAATGTTTTTACTGCCAATAAGTTTTTTATAATTTACCCAGAACTGCCTACAACTTAGCCCATACTCTGTGAGCTGCTTCATCTCCAAAGGTTAAAAAGTCACATTGTAGGGGCTCTCCCTGGTGGCACAATTGGTTAAAGCATCTCATTATGAAAATCTCCAAAGCCACTGCAGCAAAAGTTCAGCCCGTGGCCAGGAGGCTGACCCACATGGCGTGGCTGACCTCTTTTGACCCGCTTGCTGCTCCCCTCAGCAGTGTACTTCACCTATCTGCCTGTTCTGCTCCCCACTCTGTCTCTGGTGAATCCTCTCACCCACCACACCTCTTGCCTATACTCTAGTTCTGTAAGCATAAATAAATAAATCTTAAAAAAAAAAAAGTCACATTGTAAAAGCTTTATCTACCTTTTTGAGGGCTCTTTCTACTTTAACTGTATTTTACTGCAGTGTTTTAGTAAGAAGTGGGAAAAAAACTCTCAAAATTTAGTAATCACACACACACATGTATGTATGTGTGTGTGTATATATATGTATGTGTGTGTATATATATGTATGTGTACACACATACACACACACACAAAGAATATGTAGAGGTGAAAATAATCATAGAGATTAACTATTAATGCAATTGTCTGTTCTTAAACAGGCTAAAGCAGCTAAGTGGCTCTTTAGCTTTACACAGTTGTGTAGAAGCAGAGCTGAACCAAGAACTCTCATCTATGTTCTGGTTCAGGGTCTGGGTTCCTATATTAAGAATCAGAGGCTAACTTGGGAAACTGTTTTTCCTTTTTCTCAGCCAACTGGACACTGACCAAGCCTTTATGTGTTACTAAGTTTGTAAACAGAAACTATCTGGACAACTCAAAGAAACATTACATTTTTTCAAATGGAAATGTGTTCTTCCAGAACTATTTATCTATAGTGCCATTTTGATTCCAAGGTTGCTTCTAAAATCTAAACTAGCAATCAGATCTTATGGAAAGAATTATGACAATATACCTCTTCAAAAGTGAAAAATTACTTTCTTGGTCCTACAGTGTTTTCATCTAACATCTAAAAACAGTTCTTGGGGCCTCCCTGATGGCACAAGGGCTAAAGTCTTAGCACTATCAAGCTATCACCAGCCACTGGGGCACGAGTTCTATCCCCAGTCAGGGAGCTGACCCACATGGCGCAGCAGACCTCTCCTGTCTTGACCCACTGGCTCCCCTCAGCAGTGTATTTCGATAGATCTGCCTGTTCTGCTCCCCAGTCTGTCTCTGGTGAGTCCTCTCACCCCTTAGACTCTGGCTGTACCCCAGTTCTTGTATGCATGCATAGATAAAAATAAATCTTTAAAAATTTAAATAAAATCAATTTTAATTCAGTGATAATGTAAAATTTATAATACCTTATCTTTTTTTATGCCTACTCCAAAAGGATACAAGGCACAAAATCACTAACCACTACTTAAAACAAGCAAGCAGATAAAGTAGAAAAGAGATTTTTTTAAGTACTCAACCAGAATATTAAGTAAATTTGTATGATTTATATTATATTTATGATTACCTCATCATAGCCTATGGTAACCTTTTTGAAGAACACATAAATTTGGTGGTTTATCTCTCAAAAGAAAGTGATTCTTTGATAACTATTATCCTATATAAATAACCAATACTGAAATAACCATATAACCATATTATATTTGAGCAGCTGCACACTCCATGCTAGATCTTAAATGAAGGGGAAGCTGGCAGGACTATGCCTTTGTGTATGTAACATTTCCTGATTTCAGTATTTATTTGTAATTTTTTCCAGCACTATTTATTCTACACTTTAGAATCTTGAGTTTTCATTCCCAAGTTTACAATACTGACTTAGAAACACACACACACACACACACACACACACACAAGACTAGATCAAAAGGCCAAACCTAATAAAGGCTTGGAGAACAATGTTTGGAGGATATTACAACACATACATCTTCCAGCTAAACCCAAGGCAGTTCCTGTATATATATATATATATATATATTTATATATGGTAAGCTGGTGAAGTGCCATCTTAAGGTCATCCATTTAGCTAATGATCTGCCTTGGTAAAATGGCACTTATAAACATATTTGTCAGCTGAACCTGGAGGATAGCTTGCCTTTTAAGAGCTTCCTGTGCGCCTGGCACAGCTGCATCTTCAATGTGAAGTGTGCCATTGAGATCTACCAAAACAGCTTTTAATGCACGGCGTGCTGCCATCCTTCATTCCCTAGGAGAGAGCAAATGAAATTAAAAATACAGTTTAGGAAACAATGGATAATTAAAAACTGGTAAGTCTTTGAAAATATCATTCACTGCCAGAAAGACACTATTTAATGTTATGCTGCTTTGACTAGAAAAGTTTTTTTAAAAAATCCAAATTTGATTTATAAACTTTTACAATGCTTAGTCAGTTTTAAAATTAAAATTGCAGGAGGAAAAAGAGAAGTTACTAAAAAGAGTACTATTTATTTTCAGATTTCTTAACTGAGAGATCTTTCAGGCTGGCTTCAGTGCCTCCATCCTTTTGTTTTGTGAGCATTTCCTTGTCTTCTCTTTTGAACAACTACAAAGATGCTCCTGGCTCATCTGTACTTTCCCTTCCCCAGCCCTAGAATCAGCCATTTCTCAGAGGAGTCTTGCTTCCTTTTATAGAGAATAGTACTCAGAAACCAAGACCCGGATACTGGAAGTATTTGCCCCTACTGGGATGTCCCTGTTTCTAGGTCCTATCAGCAGAAAGAACTAGGCAATGCAAGGGTGTGTCCTAATGTGTGTATACACACAAATCCATCATTACGTCTGCATCTATCCATCTGTGTGTGATTCTATGTAACTATAATCACACATGGTGATAGCCCCAATTCAAATACAATAACTATAGTGTTCATGTAGCGCTTTTTTTTTTTAAAGATTTATTTATTTATGCACACAGAACTGGGATACAGGCCAGAGGTGCAGGAGTAGTGAGAGGCTTCACCAGAGACAGAGTGGAGAGCAGAACAGACAGATTGATGAAGTATACTGCTGAGGGGAGCAGAAGGCGGGTCAGGAGAGATCTGCCGCACCATGTGGATCTCCTCCCGGGCACACGGGGATCGAACTCATGTGGAAGTGGTTTAAGCTTCTTAGTGCAATGCTTTAACTCCCTGCGCCACCAGGGAGGGCCCAGCTTTCTTTATTTTTAACTTTCCTTTTAGATAAGTCAGAAACCTGGCTCATGCCATCTACTTACTTGTTCATATCTGGCACATAAGAAGGTACTTTCAGGGCTGTTAATTCTTATTTTCACAAGAAACACATTACTCAGTAGAGTACAGTGTTCATGTGCAGCTCATTTTGCCCATCTTCTTAGAGGATATCTATCCTTAGATGTTTTGAATCAAAGCATCATTTTTCCAAAGCTACTTAGGCTAGCCTTTCCCCATTTTCCATAGCCGTCATGTGGTTGTGTGGTTATGTCAGACATTCCCAATACCATTAGATTCATTCGTCACACAGTCTGCCTTCCATTCCAGGATCTCCCAAATCCTGGCTCATCTCTTTCTTTGTTTGAACACACTGAGGTCCATTCTTCGCGCTATAATTCCACAAATTTTGACAAATGCAGGATTAAGAACCCATCACCCTAATACTATACAGACTAGTACCAATAGAGATCTGGGTAAAAGCAAGACTCTGGGAAGTTAAGCAGAAGACTGTAGCCTGTTTGGCCCCAAGAGCATCTGTTATGCTAGGTGACCTTGAGTTGGCCCCTCCAGGTAACAAAAGACAAAACTCAGGGTTCCCCTGAAGAGACAGATCCTCCCAACTTAAAACCTGAGACTTTGGGTTGTTTTATCTCACACACCACTTCTACTTAATACTGCAAATGATACCCCAGCTAGTATAGTAAGGCAAGAAAAGCAAGGTATAAAGACTGGAATGGAAAACAAAACTATCATTATTTATAGATGACACCATTGTATCAAAAAGTCACGAATTTAAAATAGCTAATAAGGTAGGAGTAGCAATTACTAAATGATTATTTAGTAATTCATTTGAAACAATCACTCATTTCCATGTTGATTCTAAGCTATACACCTGTGCAAATGGCAAAGGATAAGCAAGATACTTTAGCTGAGATTGAAAAAGAAAAAGAAAGAGGGGGACTTATTTTGCCTAATTTATAGACTTGTTTAATAAGGTCTTATAATTTGAAGATACTATAGTACTAGCGCATGGAGACAAATTAATAAACAGAACAAGAGAAGCCCCTATTATGTATAGAAATTTGAAATACTGCAGAAATAGTATTTCAGTTTAGTGAAGATATAAAAATTACAAACTATAAAGGGAAGACAAATTCAAGTATATGTAAAAATTTTGGAAAGAGAATAAAACTATACAGAATAAAGACAAATTCATAATGCACATGGAGGAAGGGCTAGAATTCAGGAAATAAAATTATATATATTAAGAAAAACACCTACAACCCAAAGAAAATGGCATAGAACCCATAGAAAATGGCATCGAATCTCAACATTGGAAATACAAATATACAAAATGAGACCAACACAACCAACAAAATGGGAAATATTTCAAAACTAAAAATATCACAGGCTTTCAGTAAACTTCCAACTACTACTAGTGAGAGAATAAACCAGTACAATCATTTTGGAAGCTAGTCTGGAATCACCATACACTGTGACCCAGCAATTCCATTCCAGTATAGCATCGTTAAGAGATTTCTCTCATGCAGTACCACCAGAAACAAAAATGTCCATAGCAGCACTGTTTGTAAGTCAGAAATGGGAAAGAATCCAAATGTTCATTAACAGCAGACATATTCATACACAACACAGAAGGTAGTGGAACTGAATGAACTACAGTTACACACATCAGCCCAAACAACTCTCAGAAATCTAAAAGTGAAAGAAGCAAGGGAGACAAGATTACATACAGTATGGCTGCATAGCACAGGTTCAGAAACAGGGATGCACACAGAGGTGATAAAACTGCAGAAAGCAGCCAGGGAGGGCCCGCACAAGAATCAGAGCAGTTGAAACCAGATGAGCACTAGGGTCTCTGAGGTCTTCTGAACTTAGATGGTAAGTATATGTGTGTTTACTTTATAAACACTAAAAATTTACATATACGGTCTTCATACTCTTGTAGAAGACTTTTTTTTTTCCACAAAAATCAGTCTTGTTAAAATTTAGGTATTTCTCATACATTTAATATAGTTATTAAAAAACTAAATTAGTCCAGAACATTATCACACACTCAGTATTAACAACCTCCATCCCTAAACCGTTTGATATTTTAAATAATGCTCTGGTTCCATTTGTCTTTTATACTGCGTCTGCTGGGAGAAAAAAGAGGCACAAAATTGATTCTAAGGATTCTGGTTAATTATGATTCAATTGCAAAATCCTCTATTGTACCAATCCTCACATGTTGTTATATATCTGATCATTATTGTGACCTTGAAATAGGGGATTTCAACAATATCACTACCAATTATCTACCTAAGAATATAATTTGGATGTGTAGAAGTTAAAGGATTTTTACACTTAAAGCACACATTACAAAAGAAGGCTACAAAAATTGAAGACAAACATTCTCTTTTTTAGATTGAGGAACCTAAAATTGCTTCTCTCCAAGCCTGGGAGACAGCTAGCAGCCAATTAAAAAAAATGTCAACTCTGAAGGTGTTCTGTGGGCAGAACGGCTGGGTTGTGTTGTGTGTGTGTAAATGAGGGAAGTTACACGATAGGGATACAAAGTGATGCAATATTAGTACAACTTGATGATATAAAATTTTACATCAAGGGCCCTCCCTGGTGGCACAGTGGGTTAAAGCACTGCACTGAGAAGCTAAAGCCACTTCCGCATGAGTTCGATCCCCGCCTGCCCCGGAGGTGACCCACATGGCGCGGCAGACCTCTCCTGACCCGCCCGCTGCTCCCCTCAGCAGTGTGCTTCATCGATCTGCCTGTTCTGTTCCCCACTCTGTCTCTGGTGAAGCCTCTCACCGCCCCTGAGCCTCTGGCCTGTACCCCAGTTCTGTATGCACAAATAAATATTAAAAAAAACAATTACATCAAAAGGAAGGCTATATCGTAGCATATTACTCAACACTGCATAAATATTTACGATGAAGAAATTTCAATTAAAGGGTTCTCCTGGGAGCTCGGGGCTGCTCAGAATGTTTATTAGACCTCCCTGGGGGTGTACAAATGATCTTTTTGTACTAATAATCTTCTAGTGGAAAAGTCCGGAGCCACCGTATATATTCAATAAATGCTTTCATTATTCAGTTACTCCTCACTTAAAACTTTGCCAAGGCTTCCCAGCACCCTCAGGATGAATCTCCACAATGGGCATTAGTGCACCGGGCCGTGGTTTACCACTTCAACTCATCTTTCCATTCCTGCAGCCAAGTTCCGTGGGCGGCAGTCGTCCAAAGTAGGGCGTGAAGTCCTATACTTTACCTCCCTCGGCGCTCAATTCTACCTGAAACCACTCTTGCTCCCTGCATTGTGCCAGCCTTCCTGAAGTCTCACTTCTGACTCCTCCAGACTCGAACTTACTTTCAGCCAGGGCTGGGCCACGAAGCCCCCGCGAGCTCCCCTTATTATTATACTCATCACCGGTCCCAACTCGAGATCTGTGAGGAAAGCGGCTGTGCTGAGCTTTGCATGTGCCATTTAACGCGTAATAAAGACTTCTGCATTACCTAAGCTCTCGAAACCCGTTTTCAGTAACTGGGGGTGTCCGAGAATCCTTCAGCACTAACTCAAGAGCAAATCCCGCGACCCCCAGGATGGGCTGCGGGGGCTCAGCCCAAGTTCCACAGCCTGGCAAAGGCCAGACTGTCTGGAAGGGAGATCAGGTTCGAATACAGCCCAAGTTCCGTGGAATGACCAACACCTCAGAGCCGCAACGCGTCCGCGAACGGCTCCGCTAACCTGAGCCCGTCGGAAACGCCGCGCGCCGCTCTGCGCATGCGTGGCAGCGCCGCGCCCGAGGGGCGGGGCAGTTTCGCCAGGGCAAGCGTGCGGGTTGGTAGGGGTGCCCAAGGCAAGCAACCTGCTGGTCCCCGAACCCGCTCACAAAGAAGTGCAGCCTTCAAGTGGGCAGGCGACCGGCTGTCCCAGGGCGGCTCCTCACCCCGCTGCGTACGCCGTCCTCAGCTAAGGCCCCGCTCACAGGAAAGTCTACACAGCCGCACCTTCCTCTACGTCCTTGCAGCGGGCCCAGAGCAAGAGGGGCGTTTCCCCGATGCGCCGGAAGCTGAGTCGGGCAGCACCGGAAGTTCCGCCCCCTTTCCGTCGATTTCTGCCGCATCCTCGCGGGGTTCGCTACTGATTGAGTATTACTGGGTCTAGTCCTGCGCTTTCACTAGGATAGAGGAGAAAGTAAAGTTATTCTTGAGTTCGCTCTTTCAAAGGCGCACCCGGCTGGACTAGATGCAAGAGGAAAAACGAAAGCTTCCTTTCTCCGTGACTATGTCCTATTCCATAGCACCATTGTTCACTTTCTTTGCGTCCGCCCCCTCTCATTGCACCTCTTTCTTGCTCATTCTCCAGGGGTAAATTACAAATCCTCTTGCTATAATCTTTGAAACATCCAACCTCTGAAGTCGTTTCCTGGTTTGCTACTTGAATTTAGTACCTTGCACTTACTGCTGTTTCTGTTACCCACTACCTCTGGCAGTGACCCCACGATTGGCATTCACTATTCCAAAATCTTAAGTTGTCATAGAAATAAGTCACTGCTTATCTTCCCTTGGGGCATATCTTGACATAGGAGTACGACCTCCCACGCCACTTCCTCTCACACTTGTTAGGAGTCCGTGCTCTTCCTTTGATCCAAATAAACAAGTGCAAAAATGATCATTCTGGGCACTCTGTGAAAACTACCACATGAAAAACTTTGTAGAGCCTAACAGGATATAAATTTTACATATATAGAACCCCACGACAAATGTGCTGTTCCTTCCTTGACTGGAGACTCCTTCCAGAGCACCATCCAGTATTCCCTCTGCCCACTGTCATGGTCACCATGTCATGTTATAATCCTATTCTCTGGACTAGTGACGGCCACTTTTCTTCCTGACTAGGTCTGGAAGTTACTTGGGTCAGTTGTGTTTATTTTTGTGTGTGAGGGGTGTGAAGGTCTAGTTGGTTGAAAGGGAAGGAATCTGTTCCTACTCTACCTTTCAACTAGAAGCAGTCTTTAATCACGTTAAAATATCACTGAAAGTTTTAGGGCCCTCCCTGGTGGCGCAGCGAGTTAAAGCACTGCACTAAGAAGCTAAAGCCACTTCAGCATGAGTTCGATCCCCGCCTGCCCAAGGGGAGCTCCACATGGTGTGGCACACCTCTCCTGACCCGCCCACTGCTCCCCTCAGCAGTGTACTTCGTTCATCTGCCTGTTCCCCACTCTCTCTCTGGTGAATCCTCTCACCCTCCACATCTCTGGCCTGTACCCCAGTTCTGTATGAATAAGTAAATAAATCTTTAAAAAAAAATCACTGGAAGTTTTAAAAGTAGGTAATGTTAAGGCATACATTTTTCTAAGTGCTGCTCTGGCTGAAATATAAATAGGAGGAGAGAGGTGTCAAAATGTGAGACCAGCTAAGAACCTATTAAAGGGATATAAGAGAGATGCTTAAACAAGAATGTCTGGAAACAAAGCAGACAAATCTAAGAGATCTTTAGGAAGTAAAAACAGACATTGATTACACAAGGGAGAGAAAAGCATCAAGGTAACTTCTAGGTACCAAACTTGGGCAACTAGGTTGTATAATGGATGGTATCATTCATTGTGATAATGAGTATTGATATGAGACTGTAACAGGATTGTCCTTAGGGTGTGCAAGGAACCTTGAACCTCCCCTTTACCTAAGGACCACTCTTACATAAAGACTTCCTTCTCATCAGAAGACTCATGGTTCTGCTTTCCAAAGTGCAAAATGACTAAGGAAAGGATGAATCCCTAAAAGGAAGGGGCTGAATTTAGGAAAAAGGGTGTGGTAAAAACCCAAGGGGGAGTGTGCTCCCTGGTGGTGCAGCAGGTTGGAGTGCAGCTCTGAAAAGCTGGCAACAGCCGCTTCAGTCGAGAGTTAAATCCCAGGCCCAGGAGGTGATCCACATGTGCCCTTGCACATCTGGCTTGTACCCCAGTTCTGTATGCATAAATAAATAAATCTTTAGGGGGAAAAAATTAAAGGGAACAGAGATGTCAAGAAAGCTGGATCAGAATGGAAAAACAGCTGAGCAAATACATGTTTGTATATTGTTCTCTGTGTGTTCCAGGTGCTGGCTCAGTGTTTTTACAGCACTGACATCTAATGACCATTCAGGTCAAAGACAATTTTAGCAAAAAAGATTTTCATTTTAATGTCAATGTTTTATGATTGGTAACTTTAAAACTCTTTTTGGTGATTTTTATCACCAAAAACATTTTATTTCTGAACAGGTCTTTGAATGAGGTGAATCTAGAATCAAAAGCTACTGACCTAGAAGATTATATACATAATCATTTAGAACAGACTTGTGTTCTGAAAGTTATTGACCAATTTTCTAGATAAGGCAGCTAACTAAGTATCTTAGGAAATTTTCTAAGTCACATGATTAAAGATTTTGCTTGGCCTATCAGCACTAGCCTGCCTCCAGAATACTCTTTACTGAAATTGCTTTCTCTCAAATAGTAAGTACACGTATACATGTGATTACACATAACTAGAACATGTATCACACTGCTTATTCTATCTAAAGCAGGGATTTTTACAAACGATAGTTTATACATGTTTTTAAAATTTAGGGTTTTGTGGAAATACTTTAGAATTTTTGACAAAAGTGGGATCAAGAATGAACAGTGGGACCTATCCCTACTTCAGGTAAAATCAAAGAATGAATGGGCCTGTTCCAACCATTTTAGATATTGGTGCATTACAGTTGTTTATTCCTTTGAAAATCTGATTTTGCTGTTAAAAAAAGCTTGAAAACCACTGGATTAAATAGTAAGGTATGGGTTTGGATAACAACTATAGATGGGATGAAGAGCCTTCACAACAAATGAGGATACAGAGTAAGGACTACAAATTATTAATCCTAATATAAATTATTAATCCTGAGAGTGGCTAGGGGGGTTGATAGGGACAGGCCAAGATGCATTAAATTTGTGTTCACTATGGTTATTACTGATGGCCACAACTGCTCGGGGGAAAATGGGGCTAACCTGTGAAGCCTACAGACTTCCCTTCAGGCAGCAGAGCTAGAATTGTGTAAATAGTCTTTAGGGAGGAAGTATTTTTTAAAAAGACTTACTTATTAATGCATACATGAGGTGTAGTCCAGAGCTATGGGGAAGGTGAAAGGATTCTGAGACAGAGCTGGGAGCAGAACAGGTAGATCTATTGAAATACACTGCTGAGAGAAGCGGGTGAGACAGGAGAGGTCTGCTGGGCCATGTGGGTTGGCTTCCTGGATGGCCAGGGGTCCAAATCAACTTGTGATGCAATGGCTTGGCAATAACTGTCTTTAACCCCTGCACCACCTGACAGAGGCCTGACAGAAAATATTTTTAAGTTCAATACTTCATTTTTCTTAAAACCATTTGTTATGAATACGCTGAACCTCCATGACTGCTTTCTAGGGGTGGGTGAAAGTTACGCAGACACTATATCAGCACTGTGTTCACATTTCCTTACATGAAAATGGCACCTAACCAAGAACTTTCTGTGCTTTCTGTTTGAAATTGTGGAGAAATACCCTCAATTAATTGTTTCTTTTGAATTTGTTCAGTAGCTTAAACCTGGACTCATGCATCAGCTCTCTGTAAAGCCAAAAAGAAGTGTGAAGTATATTACTCATATTAGCCAGGCAATCAAATAAGAAGATTCCTGGTATATTTCTTTGGTTAAGCTGCAAGCCAGTGGCCCAGAAATGATCCACTTCTAATTCAGGTAAGGCTCCTAAGTTTTAGAAGTAACTTATGTCATAGAATAAAAGTTGTTCATGAGTCTTCTTGATGTCAACAATTGTTAATTCCTTGGAAAAAATAGAGTGCTTACTTTCTTTATCTCTGTGTTCAGTGACTTAACCACAAAAAAATATGTAAGATGTTCACATACAAATGAGATTCAGTTAACAATGGCAGGTATATTCTCAGGTACAAAAACAAGAACTTGACTTAAATTTATTTTATTTACAAATGTTCTATAAACAAAGATGTCAACTCCCCTCCCATAAAATATTAAAACTGCCAATTTCCAGAAAAAAACATTTACATATAATCTTCCTGCATAAAAAGAGTATTATGGAAAAAATATATATGGGATGGTCTAAGACCAAAAAAAACCACAAAAAAACCTTGTTCAGCATGTATACTTTAGTGATGGAGTGAAGGATAAAAGAAATCACACCCTTTAATGTCTTAATGCCTCCAAGAAATGGAAATGTGGTAATATGGAGAGGTACCTGCTTTACAATAGTTTCCTAAGTCACACAGTTTCATTGTGATTATTTAGGAATCTTGCAGAATAATATTTATGCTGATTTTAAAAAGTAAGTCATCACTATAAAAGGGCATAGACTTTTAGACAGATTTTTCTATCAACGGAAATATGTAGGGTCTGGCCTCATCAGGACAATTCATTAATAACAAATGCATGAAAAGAACTTAAAACAAAATCACAATCACTATTATGTGACTATCTAGCTTATAACAATAAATTTCTCTCTGAAATTAGAGTAGTTATTTACTAGAAATTTGAATTTTTCAAGCCAAGACAACACATTGACAAAATATTTAACCAAAAAAATTCAAAATAAAATTATCCAAATTACCTATTTATCATTTCATATGCTGTAATTACTTTTTAGGAACCTTTAAATTTTATCTAGAAGGATAATCACTCTTTTCATCATATCATAGTCACAAGAAACTCCAAAACTTTGAAAGAAAATTCATCCCTGAGAATTGAGAGAAAAATCTCTAAAAAACACAGAAGTAACAATTCTATACCCTTTAACAATCTCCACCATAGCATGAACTTTTATTAATAGTCAGCAATCAAATGTATTCTGATCTTAGATAGTTAATACCTCTGATGATCTGATCTTTTTATAATGATATTTTAATTGCAACATTTAAAAATCAGATAAATAGGGATTCTTGTTTTATTGTCAGTTTTCCATTTTTTTCAAGTGCAAGGATGACAGTTAAGATGTGTAGATCCAATGATGATGGAAGTGATACCTCTGTTGGCGTCTCTTCCTCTGAGTCTCCATTTCCCCTACTAGTCTTCACCCAAATAATAAAAGTAATACAATTGCAACTGAGTTTACGATTATCAATGGCACTGCAAAGGAAAAAATACAACAGTTGGTTACTAAAAGAAAATATCAGAAGGAACAGTTACTAACATCTGGGAAGGAAGGAAGGGAGTATTTAAAAACCTGCCATCATAATTATTTGCAAGTAGTTAAATGAGTGAATGCTCATTGTGCTGCACTAGATCAGAAAATTCATAACTTATTTTAAAGAGGGCTTGTGTACTGGGGACCAGGGTCACAATAGAACATTTAGGTCAGTGTAAAATTTCAGAGGATAGGGCTGGTGCAGCTTTGAGAACACACACACACTGGCCTCCAGGCAGAAACAGACCCACGTGATGGTTGATACCACATGGCATTGGAAAATATAGTGCAGAGAAAATTCCAAAGTGCCAAAGTAGTTTTATCACTAAATTAAGAATGAAGCTACATGCCATTTTACTCAAAGCCATGATTAAAGCAGCCACCAAAAAGAGGGAGACAGACACACAGCCTGTACACAAGTCCAAGTATGTGTACACACAGCCTAACTATAGCGGTTTAAATAGTTTGTTTAAAATATTTTCCGATCAAATGGTAGATAGGGAACCTTTATTTTTCTCTTGAAAGGCTTCAAAGACTATAGAGACTACTGAAAAAGCACGTTTCTAAGAGGTAAGTTCATTGTCTTTCAGCTCTGAGAGGTAACATATGGTCATACACTGAGCCCTTCATCTGCATCAACTGGCTTAGACAGAAATAAGAGGCAAATGAAAAAGAAACCAACATTTTTAAGGAATAAAGTTATGTTAAAGAAAAAAATTCTCACTACAAAAACCAGTGTGATAGTATTCATACTCAGAGATTTCTCTTTAAATTAAACCACAAAATTAAAACTTAGTTACACTAGTTTTTCTTCTTACCTCTCATCACGGTTCTTACAGATCGAATAAGGTTCATTAGCTGAGACTTAATTCCTGGCTCCTCTCCAAATCCGCCAATTCCCTGGTCTGTTCCCCAGCCAACTGCATAATAGAAAGATGATTAGATGTGTTAAAATTTATTATGTGCTTGTCTTGTTCCTTCATTAGTCATATTCTAAAAGCTATACTAGCTTTTTGTTGAATATATAAAAGAAAGGCATATAACTTAAAATAATACTGAGCTGTATCTTAAGATAATTTTTTTTTACTTTTGACAGCATGAACAAATTTCATTTCCACTTTTATTTTATTTTTTAAAAACTCGGTCAAGACCCTCCCTGGTGGTGCAGCAGGTTAAAAGCACAGCACTGAGAATCTAAAGCCACTTCCGCATGAGTTCGATTCCAGGAGGTGACCACATGGTGTGGCAGACCTGTCCTGACCTGCCCGCTGCTCCCCTCAGCAGTGTACTTCGTAGATCTGCCTGTTCTGTTCCCCACTCTGTCTCTGGTGAAGCCTCTCATCACCCCTGAGCCTCTGGCCTGAACCCCAGTTCTGTGTGCACAAATAAATAATCTTTAAAAAAAAAAAAAAAATTTGGTCAAATCATCTTCCATTAGGCGAAGATGACGACAGTGCCCTGATTAGTGACCCCTCCCCAAGTAACAAAAAATTTTCAGGTCAGAACCGAAAACCAAAGCATAGTGTCAAGTTGATTAATTAAATTTTAAAAACCCAACATCCGTATGAAAACAACATAGCTGAAATTCACATCACTTGGGGAAATTTAACATAGATGTCACAGCTGGGCTAGGCCTTCAAAGCATGCTCTACTGCCAGTAGGGCACCTTTTTTCCCTCTTGATCATTCCTTTTCCTTTGTGAAATCTGGGGTGAAAAATTTCACCCACCACCCCACTTACACTCTGTAAATGGGTCTTTTACTTTCTGTGTCACTTTTCTTGACCTGCACCCGGAATCCTTTTTCTGCTGCCTCACACATCCTCCTAAAGATGCCCATGTCCTCATTTCTACAATGTGCTCTTCTCTTGCCCTCATTTCAGGTCCACCTGCTGTATCTCATATGACTACTTATTTTTTTCTTTTTAAATCTCATATGACTACAGGGCTTAATTAATTCCTGATATAACCCTTAATCCTGAAGAAAAAGAAAATGTCTTTATTTTATATATGAAAGAACCAAGTATTAGGAAAATTTCTCACTTTTTTGAGTGAACTTTTATTTGGATGAAATAAATGTTAAATAATGCTTGCCTGCTCTTTTGCTATAACAACACTGTAAAATGTCATGGTTTAAAACTAATTTAACATGGCCTCCCTGATGGTGCAGGGTTAAAGTCTCAACTCTATCAAGCTAGCCACAACCACTCCCAGGCCAGGGGGCTCTCCTGTCTCAGGCAGCAGACTTCTCCTGTCTCACCCACTGCTCCCTTCAGGAGCTTATTTCAGTAAATCTGCCTGTCTGGTCCCTACTTTGTCCCTGGTGAATTCTTTCACTCTCTGCATCTCTAGCCTACCACCCAGTTCATGTATGCATAACTAAATAAACCTTTTTTTTTTTTTAAAAAAGGACAAAACTACAATATTGAGTCTACAATAAAATTAATTAACTGACCAAGTTCTCAATTAATTTTATTCTTATGACACTAGAATGAAAGAGAAAATGGAATTCTGGGTAAAGAGAGCAAACCATTCGCTTAGATATACCACAAATACAAGGTGACAAGTAGAAGACCAGGTGCCAGAGATTGTATTTTACTAAAATAAATAGTTTTCTCTCAAACTGCTAGAGAATCTCAGTTGTTTTTTTAAGGACCCTGGCCAAAGTTTTAAGGGCCTTGCTTGTTTAAAGAGAAAGATTTAATTCTGTGGTTTTCTTGTAGCTTCCACAGCTAGAGGGTCCAGCAGAGGACAAATAGTTAAGACCAGCCAAGAGTTGTTGCTATAATTAGAGAAATGAATTTAAATAGCAAAACTTTCTGATTGCGAACACCAAGTTATATTCCCCTGATGCCCAGCCTTCAAAGTCACACACAGAATGGCAGCCCATCCAAGTTCAGTTGTTGATCATCATGAAATGTTTTGAAGAAACAGTACTTATTGACAATTTTGAGTGCTGGCTGATCCTTGGCAAATCTCAGCCTAAGATCAGTTACCTAGTCTGTAAGAATGAATGTGCTTTACTATATCACTCCACATTTGAATGTGAATTAAATGCTATCATAAAAAGTAACAAGCTACACAATTAATTCTGATACTAGAAATTTTAATAAATTAAAATCGATACTAAAGTAAATAACCTGATATACTTACAAACTTCTCTTGGTTTAATATAATCCCCATTTAATCCCTGGTGAAATTTAACAAATGCTTTTTAGGAGTATATTTAGAAATCCAATGTGCTATCCATTGTACCACAGAGCCTGGAAAGGAATATATTTAAAGAAAAACTTCTACATCACACGGTTTCCTCAATATTTTATAAAATGCCATTCTCATACCATGTCTCTCAGACAAGGATGTGGAAGACTGCTCATTTCTCTATACAGTCATGCAAACCTGGCATACTGTGGAAGATTCATCCCCTTAGGAATTCTCCCTCTGTTACTTAGGTCCACACTGCGTACTTTCCTAAGCTGAAGTTTTAAGTTTTATATTCATCTGAAGTAATCATTTAAACCCCGAATAAGGGGTCTCCCTGGTTGGCACTATGGAGTTATCAGCAGCCACTATAGCACAAGTTTGATCCTTGACCACTGAGGTGACCCAGCAGACCTCTCCTGTCTCACCCCCACTGCTCACGGCAGTAATGTATTTTTGTCTGCCTGCTCTGCTCCCCACTCTGTCTCTGGTGAATCATCTCACCACCCCCACCCACACACCTCTGCCTATACCGGCTCTTGTACACATACATAAATAACAGTTTGTAATATTTTAGCTGTTTGCTATTGATTGAATTGTGCACCCCCTTTTCTCCTATTCCCCCAACCAGGTTTGAAGCGCCCTAATGCCCAAAAAGACAGTTATCTGGAGATGGGGGCTTAGTAAACAATTAAGGTTAAGCGAGATACAAGGGCTGGGTCCTAATCTGCTAGAACTGTGGTCTTACAAAAAAAGGAAAGAGAAATCTTGATTCCCTCTCTCCTTTCCATCTGCCACACAAGGACAGAGTGAAAAGCCAGCCATCTGCAAGATGGCTCACAGAAGAGTCCTCACAGAACCCAACACTCCTAGCCTCCTGTGAACCCAGACTTTCCCACCTCTGTCCTCTCACTCTTCACTTTCTCCTATCAGCTCTTCCATCTCAAGCTAAACATTAAACACTGGAAGAGATTCCTGGGACTGTTCTGGTCACCAATTCTCTTTGTACTCAATTCTATTCCAGACAAGTCTCATCTCTTCACATCTCTGTGGCTGACAAAACTGCATTCCAATATCCACCCTGGATCTTGCTTCTGTTCTGCCTACTTGAGTCCAATCGATTATTTCACATCTCCACTAACATAACTCACAGATAGATCTAAACTAAGCATGTCTAAAGCTTGTTCCATAATCTCTTCACCTTCTCACGCACCACCCCAGCCCCAACTGTCTTCCAGTACACTCTTCTTAGTAAAGGTTACTTCTCTAAGCCAGAAAACCAAGAGATCTTTGACTCTTTCCTCTCCTCCTTATACCCAGCATCCAAATAGTAAATTCTGTCTCTTTAACCTTTTTTTAAAAAGATTTATTTATTTATACATATAAGAGCTAGGGTGCAGGCCAGAGGTGCAGGGAGTGAGAGGATTCACCAGAGACAGAGTGGGGAGCAAAACAGGCGGATCTACTGAAAGACACTGCTGAGAAGAGCAGCAGGTGAGACAAAAGAGGTCTGCTGCTGCCCTGTGGGTCACATTCCTGATGGGGGATCCAACTGGTTCTGCAGTGGCTTCAGATTGCTTCATAGTGCTGTAACTTAACCCCTTGCACCACCAGGGAGGCCCCTGCCTCTTCTACCTTTAAAGTATCTTCTGACTTACAATTTCCTATGGCTATCATAACAAAGCATCACAGCTTGCGTGGTTTATCACAGCAGAAATTTATTTTCTCACAACTCTGGAGAGCAGAAATCCAAATCAAGATGATTTTGCAGGACAATATGGTCCATCTCTCTTCCTAGCTTCAGGTAGCTACCGGTAATCCTAGGCATTTTTTGACTTGTAACTACATTGCTCCAGCCTCTGCCTCTGTTATCACATAGCCTCCTCCCCCTTTACTGGGCCTGAGCCTCTCTCTGTCTCTCCTTCTATGGACAACTCAGTTGAGGTCAGATTTACAGTTCATCCTAACTCAGTGTAACTTATCTTAAGCTAACTGACTGCATCTGCAAAGACCCTGTTTCCCAACAAGGTCCCACACACAAGTATGTAGGGTCAGGACTTCAATGTATCTTTTGGGTGGGATACAATTCAACCCACAAGATGATCCTTCCTACTCTCCCGTATAATGCAGTGGTGAAGAGATGGATTGTGAGTCAGAATCCTATGTTTGAAAACCAGTCATTTCTAGCTGTGTGACTTTAGAAAACTTACTCTCTATTATGCTTCAGGTTCCTCATTACCTATCTTACAGGACTGCTGTGAGAGTTAACAAGCACTTGACACAGACTTTAGCTAAGTGTTAATTATTATTACTGTATTTATACCAATTCAACTAATATTATACCCACCATATCTACAGCCCTGTTAGGAATGGTGCTTCCCATATCCACTCTTCTAAGCTTCCAATCTGCTCTCCACACTAGCCAAAAGGATCTCCCAAATCAAACACAGGTCACTGCCCTGTTTCTAACCTTATTTTCAACTGCCTCAGAGTTTCCCAACCAAATTTTTCTCAGTGCTTCACATCTACTTACTTAATATTTATTCATTTATCAGGTTTCGAGATAAATGCACCTCCAATATGTTTACCCAGATTCACAGATCAGTACCATTATGCACTTGTCTTTTACGATATTCTGCATTACTTATTATTGTGACTTGTTGAGTTTTTACTTAGATTTATTTCCATTAGAAGGGCAAGGCAGCTGTTGTAAACTCAGCTCCTATTACACGGGACTTGCATATAGTTTGTGCTCAATAAATCCTGTCTGAAGGAATAAATGAAACAAATCAATCTTGTGTATTGGTTTAAGTTTCAGCGACTCACACAGACATAGCTGGCATGCTGTGACAAACAAGGCATAGCATACATAGTGTCCTGCCTTAGTAGTGTCTCACACTGCAAGAAGCCACCTGCCCAAGATGGCACAGAGGCTACTCAACTTTGAGGTGCAGGTAGGCCTAACACGCGTCTCTGTATTCTTAGGTTCGAGCACAGTTCCTGATCCTGGGCACCTAAAAAGTTGTGCTGAGACATGGATGGAGCTGGAAGGGGTCATGCTTAGTGAAATAAGCCAGAAAGAAAAAGAAAAATACAAGGTGATTTCACTCATAGCAGGAGCATAAAGGAGGGGGAGGGGAATAATAATGAACAACTATATGAGACATTTCACTGGGGTGGAGTGGGGAATGGGATCAAAAATGGGGGGAGGTGGACTGCACGGGACTATGGTGATGAAACATGGGTGAATTGGTGGTGGGAAGCCCATGGGGATTACAACTGAGATGGCAAAAGGCACAAAATGATGTAAAAATAAACTATTACCCCCCCAAAAAAGTTGTGCTGAGTAAACTTTTCTAGGACGGTGGTGTTTGAGAATAATAACCTCAGAACTTTTCCTTTTCTCTGACTCCCAAAGCCCAGAAGCCCCAGGACTGACTCCGTTCATTTTTCCAATTACCTAAGCTCCAAGGGAGCCACGCCCCTCCCGTCTTAACTGAAAACTCAGACCCGGATTTTTCCAATAAACGCGACCGCAGAGCAATGCTACTAACCACTAACCCAAACGACCGCAGGCAGGGGCGCCCCAGGTTCCTTCGGCATCCCCTGACCCCCGCCCCTGGCTGGGCACACTGGGTCATCAGGCCAACTTCACCCTGCCGTTAAAACCAGGCACCATGAAAGTGACTCAGCTACCTGCCCCCGTCCCCACCACCACCACCCCCACCCCAAGGAAAGGCCCCCCCAAAGCAGAGCCCTCGGTTGCTCGTCAGTCCCGGCCCAAGCAGTCCCCTCTCGCGGCGAGGCTCGGGTCCGCGGAGCTGCATCGCCGCCATCTCGGCCGGCCCTGGGCCCTACTCACTGTTCTTAAGGAAGCGTTCTTCGTGCAGCACGGCGATGGCATTGACGCAGAGCAGGGCGGCCTGCAGCAGCGAGTACAGAGTAAAGGCCATGGTCACCGGGGGCCGCTCCAAAGCCCGACAGGTCGCACTCTGGCCGCCGCGAGGGACGTGGCGCCGCCGCGGCCGGCGCTCGCCTACGGGAGCCCGCGAGGCTCAAAACGCTCCAGAGACGCTCCGCCCCCGTCTGGAGGAGACACGCCCACGCGGCCCAAAGCGCCCCAGAGACGCTCCGCCCCCGTCTGGAGGAGACACGCCCACGCGGACCTCAGCCGGCGCGTCTGCCGGCTGTCTAGACCCGCGTAGGCGCAGTGATCACGTGTCCACGCAGGGGTCACTTTGAATTCTTGAAATGTGCCTGGTCGGTGATGGGAAACCCACGGGGATTACAATTGAGATGTAAAAAAAAAGTGTACAAAATGATGTAAAAATAAACTGTTATATTATTTTTTTTAAAAAAGAATACTATAGCAGAATTAAATATTTGAAATAAAAAAAAAAAAAGAAATGTGCCTGGTCGGAATAGAGGTGCTGTCATTTGAGATGTACACCGAATTTCAAGGATCTAGGACGTAAACAAGGACGTAAGCGCTCCCAATATTTTAGTATACTAGGTAAATAAATTGGTTTTTACTGGTTTTTTTTTTGTTTTTGTTTTTGTTCTCCCGGCGTTTTAAAGACTAGCTTTGAGTGCATATTGTTTCTCAAATGAAACAACAAATGATACATGGAGCTCGCATTGTATTTTACTGGACAGACCTGTATTGGATCTACCAGAGAGCTGCATGAGATGTTAATTTTCCACTTTTACAGACAAAGAAAAGGAGGCTTTGTCAAGTAAAGTATTTTTTAAATAACAGATCTTCAAATTACTGGAGAAACATTCTCTCCTCCATCAAACTCTAGCCAGGCTCCTTGAAGCCCTTGCTGAGACCCAGCCACGGCCTATACAAACTGAGGTGTCTCAGTGCGAATTATTTCATCTTCCCTCTACGTTCACATTAAAAGATTTAAACGACCTCTTTGTATAAATAGCCCTGCACTCTTGCACTCAGGAAGGTGGTCTTTCAGACAGGAGTCTGCTGCCCTCCTCATTTGTCAACAAATTAAACCACTTCCTTTTCCTCAAACTGTGTTAACTTTTATTGGCTGCGGTAACTGAGGTAGGCGTTCTGTATCAGGATGACTGGAGAATCAGGGAATGGGTGAAGTGGAGGGGGGCATAAGAACCCCCATAGTTACCCCTTTGTGTCACTCGCCAGTAGTTGCAACTCACATGACCCAGTTCTTTTATTGTCAGAAGAATCAGGTTACCTCTCTGGGTTTTTACTTCATCATAAAATTAGGTGATTCTGATCTGTAAGTTTCCTTCAGCACCACCTCTTCCCCCACCTCTAGATACAGCAAAGGCAGCTTAAAATATAAGATAATGTACAAGTGCTACTAGCAAACTATCTGATTCATTATTTTTATAAAAATCCAGGTTTGTGGCCTAACCTGACAACAACAGACTATGTCCTTAAAAAGAATTGTTCCTCTTATATCCTTACTTGCAAAGAAATTTAAAAAAAGGGGGGGGGCAATCTTTTGGGCCCTCCCTGGTGGCTCAGTGGGTTAAAGCACAGCACTAAGAAGCTAAAGCCACTTCAGCACCAGTTGGATCCACGCCCCGGAGGTGACCCACCTCGTGTGGCAGACCTCTCCTGACCTGCCCGCTGCTCCCCTCAGCAGTGGACCTCGTGATCTGCCTCTTCTGCTCCCCACTGTCTCTGGTGAATTCTCTCTCACTGCCTTTGCACCTCTGGTTTGTGCCCCAGTTTTGTATACATAAATAAATGAATCTTTAAAAAAAAAAAAAAACAAAAAACCTGGGATTCTTTTTATACATTTATCAAATGGTTGTCTCTGTTAAAAAGAGGAAAGATCTGTCTCACCAATAAAGAACTGGATAAGAGACAGCTATCAAGTTACCACTAGCCACTGCAGCAAGAGTTTGATCCCTCCCGGGCTGCTCCCCTCTGTGGTGTATTCCAGTTGGTCTGCCTGTTCTGCTCCTCCCTCTCTCTCTGGTGAATCCTCTCACCACCCATACCTTTGGCCTGTACCCAAGTTCTTGTATGCATAAATAAATAAATATATCTTTTAAAAAATGCCAATTAAGCAAAACACTTTCTTTGCTGAGAGAGCGGGGTCATTGTCCTTTAGAACCTTCCATAACCTGGATTTTGTTGATTTCTTCACCATGATCCAATCTGACTCAAAGGGTACACATAACACCCACATCATCTGTAAAAAATGAAAACACTTGGCAACTAAAACAATAGTTACCATTTAAGCTGACTAAAACCAGTTACTAACTCAATGAAAAAATCAGGTATGTGGTAAAGAGAACGTTTTTACAAGTCAGATTTTAGAAGAGTTCTTCAATAAATATGTCGACAGTTCTTTTTCCATTCCTATTTTTAAATCTCAGCATTTCTATTCCTGCATTCATTAAAAAATAGTTCATTGAGATAAGGATTATGCATATTATTTATTAAAAATGTAGACCTCATCTTAAAGAATGATAAAAATGGATTATTGGTTTTTAGTATTTTTATCCTGCTATATTTTAATAGATATATTTATTTTGATGTCTGTGTCTGAGATATGAATCAATGATGATTGAGGCATGTTAGCTTTTAACCCTACTATTTACAATTGCAACCTTTAATTTAAATGGGTTTATGGCAGAATTCACCCAAATAGGTTCTATTTTGGTAAGCATTGGACAAAAATAGGAAAATCCCACAAGAGCCTCATTCATGTTTATGGATTCATATAAGCTATTCTCGGTTTAAGACTCAGAAGAAACCATTTGCACGCTGAAAGCTTGTGCATTATGAAGTATTTCTGGAAATAGGGCTCTTGGAAATGGAAAGTTTCCTTACAAAATAAAAATGAACCACTGTATCTATTTTTTTTAAAATATTTATTTATTTATTCATACAGAACTGGGGTACAGGCCAGAGATGAGGAGGGTGAGAGGCATCACCAGAGACAGGATGGGGAACAGAACAGGCAGATCGAAGAAGTACACCGCTGAGGGGAGCAGCATGTGAAGCTCCTCCGGGGCAGG